GAAATAATATACAATGTGTGTATAATTAAATACTTAGTCCGAATCCACATTTTATTATCATCCGTCACATGTTATTATTTTACAGACGGTTAATTACTTTTTGTACGTTATGTAGACCCTAATCGCCTAAAAGTGGATGTCCCGTCTTGATTTGGGATTATTCCTCCCCTTATCGGCCCTTTCTTTGGGACTCGAGCATGTCTATCTACAGATATTATTGTACATTATACTTTTTATACCTTATAAATTATTATTGATAGCTATCTAGTAGTAATACGGCGAGACCGGCCGCTAAAACCGCTTGGAACCCAATTCGTGCACATAAAATATATCACATTAAAAATATAATTTACACTTTAACGGTCGGTTTTGCTGACAACGCGGATACATTGTTACATCTCAGAACTCATCTATAGTAGGTACTTACCATCAAGCGACGATACAAGACCCTCCATAAACAAAGAAGTCGGCAAAATTATTTGGATTCAGTTTCCCCTGCTAACAAACTAAAATCCATAAAGGAAAAAAGCGCGATTAATTAGAACATCCCACCTAATCTTCATAGACATCAAGAAATGATGATAAACACGGTCACACACACATAACACACCTCGTACCTAATCACTAATTTAATGTTTTAATGATCGACCAACACATGACCATATGAAAAAGAACACTTAAATTCTAATTGTTCAGTGAAAGTTCCATTTCAATATCATAATAATTAGTCATTAAGTAACGTGGTCGTGACTTAAGGTGTTTTTACAACAAATTTACGGAATATAGCATCGCCCAAGTCCAAAAATAATTTTTAAACATTTTTTTTTCCCTTTTCGATTTTATGGAGCCATCTACATAAGATATATAAGTTGTGTAAGAGGCATTTAGAAAACCCACTCGCACACACATTAGGTGATTTGGCATAAAATGACCCATATTCAAATAATGTTTTAAATTTGTGAAGCTTGATTTCAGCCTTGTTGACTTATAATAACCCTTACCCGTAATCAAGTTGCTGAAAATATTTCAATTATAATACTATAATATTAGCAGAAATATTTCATTTCAAAAATTCCAACTTGAAATCTAATCAACATTTTTACATATTCTCAAAGCTGAAATAGGACACAAGTGTCATTATTTTATAATTGAAGTAGATATGGATATAATATGTAATATGCTTATCCAGCATATTGCTTACCCGGTGGACATTTATTCAAAGGGTTGATGGCAGGTTAATCGATAAACATGTTTGTAGAAATTCCAAGTAGGTGCTCGTGTAGTATAACTGACCGATTGAAGGCCGAAAATTCGCCGCCATGAGAATCACTGCGCGCTGATCAAACATGTAATGTGCTACTTAAGAAGGTATAATCGCTTCGTTATACGTGTGACCGCATTTTACTTAGGCGCGAGTACGTGCAATAGGCGAGATGCTTTCCATTGAATATTTTTTACGCAGTGTATATATATATATATATATACTCTAGGCAAATACACAGCTAAAGAGTAACCGTCGGCTGTTCTGTATAATAAATAAGAGTCGTCGATTTTTCGGCCAATGTAATTTGTCTATTATTACAATTTTTTTTTTTTTTTTTAAACACTTTCCCAACCGATATATTATATTGTATCCGGGTAAAAATGCAAACACCTAATGCAGCTAATAGGACACGGTGCGTCGGTTTCGCTCCAATAAAGAGTTATTATAAACAACGGCATAGTAAAAGTACACAATACGTCATGTTGTATTGTACAGCTTTTCTGCGGAGTCAATTAAGTTAGGCCTCTCTTTTTCCGAATTCCAATATTTTCTTAAACCCGAATTGTGCGCGATGACGCAAATTCCGAATGATAAAAGCTTTGTACGACGTTCGACTTATGCCATTCATTATTATTTCCATCTTACAACGAAATTATGTGAATCAATAAGATACACCAGTTATGTTTATAACATTGTACAGAGGACAAAGTACAAATTATATATATATATATTCAATGTGTTCTTATGGGTGACGTCGATTCGTTTTTTGAATATTTCTTTTAAAACTGAGTACAAACTATAAAACAATAATTGGTGCAGGTGGAAAAATTTACCATTGGTATACCGTATAGTATAATATGTGATAAAAAAAAAACAATTTTAAAAACGGTCACTTATACGGTTTTTTTGTTAAAAATTAGGTACATACAGAGAAAAAAAAATCTAACTCAGTTTTCAATTAGTTGAAAATACTATTTTTGTTGTAAGAACTAAAACTTTTAGTTTTAGAATATTTTTCCTATTAAACAACCACCGCATATAATATTATTATTTCTAAAATTAATTTTCACGAAGGAGATGTGATAAAAATACGTTTTTATTGTCATTTATATTAATGTAGTATACATTTAAAAATTGTTTATCATAATATTATAAAAACCAATTAAGAAAATGTTGGTTACACAAGTGAAAACTGCCCAACGCCAATGGGGCAGTATTTAATTCAACTTGATTTTGAAGTCAATATCGACGGATTAACATAACAAGTATTACTGTTCTAACTTTTAAGTAACAACCCCACGACTACAGTGAGTGCATTATTACATACATGTGTGTGATTCTAAAGTGCAAACATGTATTGTACAAAAATAGTCGAGCCGACGATCACTCGGTTTTCTTTCCCCCGTTGACATATTATTTCGTTAATATCTTTTTAAGTGAGTTTTAAGAAAAGTTTCAGACGGAATATTTCTCATGTATATCTTTGCCGTGACAGTGAATGCCCGCGGGAATACCGTGTATCCGCGGACGCCTTACTGTCTAGGGCGGCTTATTGCCATATTATTACAGGGCCAAGGGTGGGACAGGGGAGGTGCTCGTTTTTGAACGTAAATAATATATAGGTAACGAAACGGACGACAACCGCGCGCGCTCACAGCGATAATTTGAGTTTAGACTTTTCTTAAAATATCCGTACAAGTGCAGAACGCTCTTTCTAGGTGTTATACTATATATATATATATATTTAGTATAAGAATATAAGTTTTCTCTGCCATTTCAATGTTTTTCCGACATTATAACACCTAATGCGCGCATTGGGAGTATTGTGTTTCACAAACTGCGGTATGTCAGTCATGCGCCGGTGTCGGTTCATAATAACACACAAAAGAAAATAAACGGAATTTTTTTTTTTTTTTAACCTTACAGGCCCTATTATTGTTGTGCATGTGCTGAACACGGAAAAAAAAATCAAACCTTACAATTACATTACGAAAAACCTCTAAACTCATTATCCACATAGACGCGCATTACACTGCCCTTGGACTGATTTAATTAGGCGTGATGGAGAGAGAGAAAGTAATTTTGGCCCGGTCAACTTGTTGACAAAACACACACGGATCAGAAAGACGCGAGTCCGTTTTGAAAAATAATGAGTTTTTAATATGTTGTGTTTAAACTTGTTCAAAAACATATACCACACTGATGTTATATCGACATTATTGATAATAGTTCAATTGGGGAAACGAATCTTCTGGAGAGAGAGCCTGCAGACCTGGAAATGTAGAACCTTCATTATATTATAGAGCCTAATTTTAATACAATGAAAAAAAAAATGTTTACAAATTGTGCGTGATCACCGTCATAAACCGGGGCACAAGTTAGTAGAGAAAAATTAATCAATCCGAACAACTAACCGGATTTTCCAAATAGCTCAAAAAATTTGTAATAAGGTCGTTCAATGATAATTGGTGCGCGACCAAACCGATACACTTGTAGGTCCTACGCATTAAAAATTACCAAGTATTTGCCTAAAAAAAAACTTGGTCACAACAACAACAATAAGAAAGCGCATCTCAGTGTCTCGTATTCAGTTATTTTACCAACCCGAGTGAAGTATGAAAAATAATACAATCACTGCACGCCTTTAAAACACTGTGTACCTGCTACCGGTAGATTTGGGATATTGGATACCGTTTTTAAAAAGGGTTTAGAAATAATCTTTTTTTCAAGGTAGTTCAGAGCAAATTCATAATTACAACATTTCAATTTTCTCTTTACGAACACCTTCAAAATGATTTTTTATTATTTTTTAAAATTCAGTGATAATTCCCGAATTACATTTTAATTTATTTTAGGTCAAATCGAAAATCGAAAATCAGCTTCCTGAGAAACCTAAAAAATTTGTCAATAAATCCGTACATACTTTTAAAATTAAAATCAAACATTGGGAAGTATGTCTAATTTAGCACCGCTTATTGGTCTAAAACGCATGAAAACTAGTTGTGCTACGACCCCCTTAAGGGGTAGTTTTACCAAATTCTCACAATGTATAGAGAAAAACTTTATCAATGGTGTGGCGTTTTTATTTTTTTAATTATATACTTCATGTTTTTTTGTAAGAACCATGCCACGGCCCCCTTAAACGACTGTATTGATATTAATTGTAAAATTAAACACTGGTTAAATTACACTACAACGGGGCCTACAAAGTTTTTGTAATTTGTACTTAAATATTTTTGTTTATAATAAAAGACAGTTTTGCACTAAAATCGTATACCATTGCATATTAGAAAAAATGAATATAAAAGTATTTTAATGATTGGGTTCCTGAGAATAAAAAAATAATTTAATTCACATTTCCTGTTACATTCTAATCACTTCATAATTTGGCGGGAATATACATTTTTTCAATAAGTTGTCCGAAAATGTATTCACAAACACATTCTTGAAGTGATACTGTAGTCTATGTAGAGTTAAAAATGTATTATTATAATGTAAAATACATTTTAAAGTTTTATATTATTATTTATCGAATACAATTTTATAGTACTAATTAATATCATTTTTTTTTTTAGATTTCATGGTGTTATTAATATTATTATTTTTGTTTAAGCGCCAGCCTCGTTTTCAACTATCTCTACACATATATTTTATCATCTTGACCGTTTAAAAATACTAGATGTTACTAGTTTCAAATGATTCGTTACAAAAGCGTTAACAAACACACAACGTTTACCGATAGCGTTTTGGCCGTCCTCTGTGCAGATCACTCTATTTGAGGCGGTCGAGGCCGATGACTGGTTGCCCGACGAAAACAAAAACAAAAACAAATAAACAACAACCGCAATGGTATTGTCAAAAACGTCCGGTCGTCCACGCGCCAACGCAATGCGGCGCACCGCATCAAACGAACGACCACAACAAACGCACGTGAGAACGGCGGAGCGCTTGCGCACTTGGACACAACACACACTGTACGCAGAGTTGTACGGACGCCGTGCACGTGCACTATCGGACACACACGTGTATACTGACAAGTCGAAACGGTGCGTGGCTGTGGCGGCGGCGGCCGCAGCGGTGGCCGTAGCGCTACGATGGCGCAATATGCGCGAAACCCGTGCGGCCGTCCGAGAGACGTCGCGTTTCCATTGGCCCGTCAAGCTACATCACTATGTGTTTTGATATAATATTGGTCAGGTGTTCTGTTTGCTTCGAATTTTCAAGCTTAAGATAAAGTCCGAAGCGTAGGCGCAACTAGGGGGGTGCTAGGGGGACTTAAGCACCCCCAGACTCAAAATTAGCACCCCCAAAAATTTAAATTCCAATTCTTGAATTGTACGCATAACATTTTAATAATGTACATACACATATTCTGTTAAAACTGTTTATTTTATAATATTTTTGTTTCAAAATATTTTATTTTATTTCTTATGGTTTAAAGATAAGGTATACATGGTCCGAAAGCCCACAGTCACGAATTGTCAGCACTGTCAGCGCAAAACTTAAGTAGGTTATGTCCAATTAAAAATAATACCAAACGTATCGTTCTCGAGAAACTTGTAGGGAACTTCTGACTCAAAAGGTCGTCTGAGCTGTTGGGTTTCTTTTTTATCGAAGCCAGTGGCGTCATTTCATCAAAAATCGATTCTAGTAAATTTGTATTTTATGTTTAAATAATTATTAGAATAAAAAGTTATTCGAATAATGCCCAACCATAAAATAAAACTAAAACGTATCGTTTATGAATATTGATTTATCTTAAACTGTAAACATAATACGCGTAAGCTTAGTTTGACTTAAATTATTTTGATATACATTTTTAAAGTAGATGTTTACAAAATTCAAATGTACTATACAAATAATTAGGTATACAAAATCGCTACAGCTTATATTGAAAATCGAGCACTGGAAGTATTATATTTTAGTGCAAAAATAAATATCGATTCGACTGAAATCTATTAACGACATATTATGATTTATTTTAATTAAAACGTTTTTGTACGGTATTTTTTAAATACCAATTTTACACATTGCTGTGTTATAATAAATGTTAAGGCGCCTTGGCCAAGGCGACTCTTCAGTTACGTTATCAAAGGGTCTAAAGATCTCGACTGGAAACCTTTCTTATGTTCACGAGCTGCAAATTTCATGACCCCACTCTTCAAAAGCAATGAGGATAATATTAATTAGGTAGTAGCTTTTGTTTCAACAGAAAACTTGCAACTATAACGTTAATAGACGATAAAACGTGAAAGTATACCTGGGTCGGAAATTCAGAAGTTATAAGTATATAATACAACCTAATACCCATAATGTTGCAAATTTGTTAGAGGCTAAGCCCAAACAATTCACCACCCCCCCCCCCCACCACGATCAAGGATATCCTGAAAATCTTAAAAAAGGGAAGGGGCGGCTTCAAAAAATATTTAAGTACTATAATCAAGACGTACCTATATACATTTTACCTAGATACAAAAATATCTAGCACGCCCCTGAGTATGTTCACGGTCTAAACATTTTGACAATAATTGATCATCATTATGTACTCAGTCAAAATACATTAAAATATTTGCTCAGCTTGTTTACACATATAGGACAAATATATTCAAATGGGTTTTGGTGTAACGCATAAAATGAACAAATACAAACTTTGTTACAATTCTAGAAACATTTCTTTTCATTAAAAGCTCGTTAGTGCTTATTTTTCCTCTTGAATGGAAAAATATTATAGCGATGAAAATCTGCACAATGTTCTTAAATTGAAAGAGAAAATAATAAAATGAATTTTTTCTTTTCGTCGGCACTCGGTTAACGGTTTATATTTTGCAAAAAAAAGTCTCGACGGATATCTTTTAAGATGAAAAAAGTTACAAACTGTTTATAATTGGATTTATCTCTTAAAATAGGTATACTACATGAACATGTTTTCGCTTACAGATTAATTTTCTACCAACAATCCGGTAAATTGTCCTCCATTTTATGTAACTGGACGATCAAAAGAAAATTATTCATACCATTTATTACAATTAACGGTAAAGTACATGAAAAAAATTGAATCCAAAATAGTTTCAATTGAGACAAACTATGTATCTATTTAATAATAGAAGGGTGGGTATTCAAATTTGTTAGAAACAATAAAAAACAGGATTTTTCTAGCAAGACAATTTTTAATAAGTTCAGCAAAATAAAATCCAAAATAAGAAATTTACGATGGTACAATAAATAATTATTAATTTTAATTAATAATTTTATATTTTAATTCAATAATAAATGTATGCGGTTATATAAAAAAAATTTAAAATCCTATTTTTTTTAATAGAATTGTTTGTCTACGACCGGACTCGTCTTAAAGTATGTCAAATGTACAACTGTTATCCTTGAAAAATGTTTTGCTGAAAATCAATCTTAGAATTTATGTTTTAATTAATGATAATGTCTAAGAAAAATAAAAAAAGTTTTAAGGCGAATCTCGTAAATTAACAGAATTATATCAAATATAAAACAAATGCAATTACTTTTTACTTAATTGTAAAAAAATTGTAATTTGTGTAAACAAAACGAACAAAATTGATTTAGAATGTCATTTCGAAAAAATGTTATTTAGTACATTACTCGACTGTTTGAATTTTCTTTTGCTATAGACAATTTCTTTTGATTTAGCCTAAATAGGTTATGTATTCATATGAATGAAATAATTAACTATTCATATTTTATATTGTGTTGCTACTGGCAGGAATGGTAGGATTTATTTCGTATATTGACTATATACGAGTCCAACTATGAGCTTCTATATAAAGGGTATCGGTTCTAACACTGTGGCAATCCATTAACAAATCAAACTAATAACACTATTGGAAGATATGACACGAGTGTATACATATTATGTCCCTGAACAAAAGTATCAACGTTCAACTTGATTGATACACGATTGCTGAACCGAAATTGGAGTAAAGGTAATAATAAATGATGAAAAGTAATAATACTAAAATAATAACTCAATTTCCAAAATTAGTTACGAGCGTTTACAGCTGATAATAAAATATTTGAAAAAATGTAATAGAAAAAAATTAAGCTTAATTAAAAAACATTACTCGGTGTTTTTAATGTACTTAGCGAAATTAAGTGTTAAAGAAATATTTGTAATAATTTTAAATGAATTCAACAAATAATTTTATATTTGAAATACATGTTTATTTATTTTATTAGATACATTTTTATCGACGGTTTAAAACAATAAATTATTTGAAAACAATTATTATATTTTAGCATGGAATATGCTTTAGCCTTTGCCTTTCTAGCTCGAAAACGACACAAAATAGCGTCACGAAAATCGTATAATAAACGAGTCGTCGTCGTCATGCAAACGTTTTGGTCAGAACGTATAATTAAGACTATACTATCATCATAAATCACAAGAAGATTATAGATTTAAACTATTCAGGAGCCAGCAGACTAAATCATGTTCCATGTTTTATAATTTTAGCCGTTAGGCTTTAAGTAGACTGTAACTTTTTTATTACTTCAAATAAAAATAATAAAAACTATTTTATTTAAATATATTTGTACTTAACTGTTGTAAATAAAGGTTTATTTTTTTAAAAAAAAAGCGTTATATTTGTATGATTAATTTCATTTTTTTTTTTAATACTTACGGTAAAAACGGAAAATGGCTATGAAATTATATATTTTGTTATGAGTTTTTAATTTTAAAAACTTTTCAAGCAATTTTTCACCAGTTTTCAATATCATTTTTTCTAAAAAAAAAAAACCAAAAGATAAGATTTCTATTGAAGTATTTTGTTAAAAGTGATTCTACATTCAAACCTTTTTTTTTTTTTTTTTTTTTTTTTCCACATGCACCCATAGAACACTGGGGGGGGACGCGCCCTGTGAGGAATTACTTCCCCCCAGTCTCCGATGCCATTTATTGGGTATACTAAACAATAAATACAATCATAAACTTAAAAACTAACACACCCACTTCGGGTGGTGGCCTAATAACAATATTCACATTAGGCCACAACGAAATTTAGTTACAAGTTTATTAGTCTATACAGGTTTATGTACAGTCGGTGGAATGTTTCCGGACCAGTGACTCGCGCACACGCCACCCTTGCACGCCGGGGCTCTCAATTGGCCGGCCGCTGTCTAGCCCTCTCTGCTTCCTCCTTCTCTTTGAGGACCGACTCGGCAAAGCGGGCGACCGCGTTCCACGCATCAGAACTTGCAATCATGTTGGCGACCAGTGTCTCCGGGACAACTTCGCCGACGACGTCCTGGAGGTCCCGCCTTTGGGACTCCCAGGCCGAACACTCCACTAGTGTGTGATAGGCACTGTCCACCATGCCTTCACAGTGTGAGCATGCTGGACTGGGTGCTTTGCCGATCCTGTGGATGAATTCGTTGAAGCACCCATGCCCAGACAGCAACTGGGTTAGGCGGTAGCCCATCATCCCGTGCTTCCGTCCAACCCATTTCCGGAGGTCAGTGACGAGAGTTCTCGTCCACTCACCTCCTGTTGCTGTCCGAAGTCTGTCCTCCCACTTGCCGAGGGTAGCAGTCCTAAGGGGGGCCCGTTGTCCGGATCCTTCTTCTGCTTGCCGGCGGAGGCGGAACGCCTCTTCTCGCTCCCTCGCCAGCAGGTCGATCGGCGGTATCGCAGCCAGCACGTTGGCTGCGTCGTATGACACGGTGCGGTACGCGCAGACACTGCGGAGTACAGCTCTGCGCTGCACCTTCCTCAATTCCCCTACTCTGGCTTGGTTTAGCCCGCTGGCCCAAACCGGTGCTCCGTAGAGGAGAATGGAGTGGACGACACTGACGAGTAGCCTCCGCCTTGGCTCACGGGGGCCGCCGATGTTAGGCATAAGCCTAGTCAACGACGTGAGCGCACCCTGCGCTTTGACCGCCGCGGCTTTGGCGTGCTGCTTGAAGTTAAGCTTGTTTGAAGTTAAGCTTGATTAAAACTATCGATTTGCCTTCAATCTTAGGCTTTTTGTTTTATGAACATATTTTTTTTGTTTTCGGTAGTTTTTTATAATTTTGAATAAAACAACCATATTTAATTACTTTTATACAAATGTAACAGGATTGCGTTATAGAAGCCGCTTTAGTAAATTAATATGTCCTGTCATCGTATTTTGCACACTTAGCAAAAGAGAATTTAATTTTGTGTATTAACTATAATAACAATTTATCATATTCTAAGAAATGAGACTGATCATAATTGCTAACAACTTGTATAAGTTATAATAAAAATGATTGAAAACAAAATAATTTCAATTTTATAAATTAAATAACTGCTTAGAAAATAATTGTTTCAATAGTGGAACTTGTAAGTTGATAGCAAGTATTTATTGTATCATTTTGTAACACATCAAATTGTTGCGAAAGCGTTTGAGCAGGTCTGAACATTTACCTTAGTAGCATCACAAGTACAAAAAAACACATTTTATTAGATTATTTTTTACATTGGAAAATATTTTTCTAAAAAAACAACATCTAGTATTCATCTATTTCAATATATTATAATATATTTAATAACATTATTCAGCAACTTATATTATAAGTGATGAGAAGATTTGTCCACAACATTCACATTGAGATAGTTACTTACAAAATGTACATAATTTAAAAAAAAAGAATAGTGTAAACAAGCTAAACTAAGATGAAGTCGTATATTTTTTATATACATAATATACGACAAATGCAAATGCATTGCCAGGTAAGAACACGCAAATTAACAATGTATTATTAACAAAATATTGAAAACAAAATAATAATAATAATAATAATAATAAATACAAATTATTTACTGAAAGAAAAATAGGTTATTATTTTTCTTTCAACATTTATATATTAAATTGCACTTTACTTAAATTTCATTATGTTTGTTTATGAAATGACAAACAACACTTTCAAAACATTGAAAAACAGATAATAAGAAAATACACTCGACATGGAAATAAAAATGGCTAATGATCTAAGGAAAAATTATTATTACTCGAAAAACAACTTAAACAAAAATTTTAACTTTAGTAATATTGTTTACTATACTAACATATTGACTAGGTTTAGAGTCATTGGCCACACAATAATTTATGACTTTTCCTTAAATTGTTTAAATGTACAACGTTCTAAAATGGTCATAAGTAATAAATAAATTAAGTCTATATAATAAATGGAGGTCTAAATTATCATTATTTTTTTTTATATTTAGCTATAATTTAAAATGTACTTTCCTACTACAATTAGACAATCCCAAACGCTATACCTTATTTATAATGGAAACAACAAAACGAAAAGTTTAAAATCGAGAATAAAATCATTTTATAATAACGCTTAACATCTCTCCGAGACGACAATGTACCCAATGTTTTTTTTATTAAAGATCAATGGAAGTGATTAAAAAATACAAATATTTGTACACGACTTTAGTATGAGGTAAAAACAATGGTATATGCAAGTAAAAAAAAAATACTTGTGCCGAAGTTCCGCAATAATTATAAGTTATAACTCTTTGTCTTCTTCGTCAAAACACAGGTATTGGTTGAGTTGTTCTCATTGGTCCGAAGTGGTAATGCTCGGACCCTCTTCTTTAATCTCGCCAACTGTGGTATTGATCATTTTGCTGTCTTTCAACGAGATCAACTGCAACACTTGTTCGCCGTTTTGCCCGGTGATGGCCACCAATTGGTGCGGCACACTGATGGTCTCGACGTCACCGTTTGACGTGTCCATCCCAACACCGGGCTCTGACTTGGGCATGTGCATAACGGGCGTCACAACCTGAACAAAGTCGGTAATTAAACATAATACAACACACAACAATTATTATTCAGTTTGTATATAAATTGTATTTTACCTGTATACTGCCGTCACTTATTTGCTGTACCACAGTTTGGTACAACGATGTATTAACTGGCACCGTGATCATACTGGACACTACAAAAACATATAATAAAATATACACAAATGACAAATTATAATTATTGTAGATCAAAAAACACAAATTCAAAAGGTTTACCTTGTCCGTCTTCACCAGTAATAATTATTTGGCCTTCTTGATTCATAGTGGCCTCAGACACATTATTTAACATTTCTACGGTGACTCCATCTGAGTTTTGGCCTTCACCAAGAGAATGTACAGAATGCACGGTGTGACCATTGGCTCCTTGAGAAGCGTTTATCTGTTTTTCAATAACAATTTGAAATAATTATGATGTATTCAATCAGTTTTAACCGAGCACCGCTCAGACTTCAGTTGATATAGTTGTTAAACAGTAAACAACCAAACTTTATGTAAATATTTTAATAAAGAAAAAAGTTAACAAATAAAATACAATAAAAACAATTTGAACAATGACAAAAATTTATACATTTTCTAAATGTGAAATAGTAAATAATAAATTAACAAACGAAAATAGTATTTTTAATGTATAATACATATTTTTATTTTTTTGAATCAAGTTTCATTTTTATTGTTTTAAATTGTTTAAAGAAATGATACCAAATTGAAAATGACTTTAAATATATTACAAACATTTCCAACTGGGATATATATTGATCTAAATGATAAATTGACGAAAAGTCGAAAAAGTTAAAAGCCTTTAAAAAATAATAATTTTTTTTTAACCAACCTCCTGGTGTTAATAAGTTATAAAAACGCGATACAGTGAACCTGTCCAATTGCACGATTCACAAAGTTAAGCTGTTCCACTGTTCTTTTACATATTATTATATAAAAAAAATTTTACACTTACAACTCCCTGAACATGAGCTTGGGTTCCGTCGGGTAAAGTTATAATTGGGTTGCTCGGATCAACGTGAAATATCGACATTGATCCATCCACGTTACTAATGGAATGGAGGAAAGCTGGCGAGTACTGCACCTATTCACGATAAGTATTCAAAAACAAATTTTAAAAGCGTTTAAATAATCACAAATACAAACCTGAGTGAGTTGTTGTTGTTGCTGCTGGTGCTGCTGCTGTTGCTGTTGTTCTTGTGCATCTGGCGAATTCCGAGATTCTATATTACTCGCTTTTGGATTGAACTTCAGTACAGAGGTAACAATTGACTGGCTCGCTACATTATTGACAATTGTTTTGCCTTCTTCTTCTTCATTGAATGTAGGTAATAGGTCTTCTCGACCATGGTATTTGTAACAGTTAATAACAATCTGTCGCAACGCTCGAGTCCACGAGATCTAATCAAAAACAACAATATTTTGATTTGGTTTCTTTTTATAAATTAATATTCATTATTAATAATCAAAATAAAATAAGACTTATAATATTATTATTATTTAAATATACAACAACAAATCTTTACTTTTTGTTTTTCGTCTTCACAACGAGCATCCATTCGAACATTCGCCCATGGAAGCTCTTTGGGCCACCACGGAGGTCTAGTAGTTTCTCTACCCCAGCCAGGTTTACCGCGTCCTATCAAATAATTAATTAATTAATTCATTTTAATAAAACTGATGTACTATTGCCGGTACTTTTGTAAAAAAGAAATTTAATTGTTTGCAAAAAAATCCAAGTCAATTACCCGTCGAGTACTTCAACATTAAAGGTATGAATGCTCTTAACTGAGCCTGAGTCATTTTTTCGACAGGTGTTGGAATTCCATCCAGAATGAGCGGTGGTAGCTCGTACAAAGTTGGATCGTCAGGAATTGGCGGAGGCGCGTGCTGCGCTAACGCAGTATCCAGCTGGTCCATAATTGTCATTCTTAAGTTTTTAACCTGTGGAAAGTATGTTATAACATATATTATACTTATTAAAAGCAATTAATTGTATTCCTAATATAATATAAAATTAAACATACAACATCTTCTAAGGGTTTGGCACCAAAACACTTAAACCCTGTGTTTTCTTTTCCCGGAGTAGCTACTAATACAATTGCTTGTTGACCGACCCTCGTAGCGAATTCATCAATGGTAACCTTTAAAAGAAATTATATTGTGTTATTAATCAGTTTTGCATTTTACTATAATTACAAAGTCTGTTTTTTCCTTACTTTAAGTTTTCTTAGTAGGCGATTGTGTTGTCGTTTTCTAATGGATGGATTCGTTTCAAATGAATGTGGCCGCTTGCGTTTCTTTGACGATACAATCGCAGCTGCAGCAGCCATTCCAACGGGTCCTGATCGACACAAACCATAACAAAGACCCCTACTGTTCGATGATCCGCTATTGCGTTTTTCTACCAGCCAAACACAAACACACACACGCAAACAAAAAAAAAAACAAAAAAATAGTGCAAAACAATATAAATAAAGGCAAAACATGCAAAAATTATAAAAATATAATTAACAACTTAAATAAATAGGTATACTCTAATTAACATATTTTTTTGTACTCTATTAGTTAAGGTGTCGATGGCATAGTGGCCGGATGTGGTAATGTAAGTACATTTTTTTTAGAAATTTAAGTAAATATTACAGTTTTCCTACAAATATCAGAAGCCTAAGATTACATGTTCTACGCTAAACAATGCATCGAGTTTAATAAATATATGAAATGATACAGCTTCGTTACAAACTTTTTGTAAAACTATAATACATGCGTTTATTGCACCTTTGCATTATATAGTCCATGTGGTGCTAAGCTTTAAAAAATAAATATATGGACATTAATAGTCTTGTTTTTTCACTATTCTTTTAACTCTTCTATTAGGTAATCCTTTATTCTTTCTTTACGTCAAAATTATATTTTTGGTATTAGTGTAATTCATATATCCACACAAGCATCAAATTCTGTATCAATAAAATTCTTATTTTATTAGATACCTATTGTATTTCCTTTTATTAAAACCCAATGTTTTTTTCTAGTTTCTTAGCCACTATTAATTTCCGGTAATCTATAGAAATCTCAGGTAATCTTAAAATCTCTAAGTCATCTCTGATAATGCGACGAACCAAATTTCTAATAGTGATTTATCATGTCATTTTTCTTACACTTCTTAAACACACAATTACTAACCCTTTATCACTTCACCTAGTTTAATTAGTCTTATGACTGATTTTTCCTCAGAAGAAACCATTAAAAAAACCGATTTGAGCAACCAAATAACAAGCTTTTATGGGTGAACAATTTTAAAATCAACAACAATTAAATGTTAAAAAGAAGCGGTGAAATAAACAAAAAAAATAATAAAAAAGTGCACATATTAAAACACAAATATTGTAAGAAACATTAACCTACCAGCTGCGGCAAGCTGTGCAGTCACATCGTCTCCCATCGCTGCAGACATCAAATCACTTTGACTCGCGTTCGAGTCCCCATCACAATCATCTGAAGACAAGCAACCGTCATCGTCCAAGTCGCTGTCTCCAGTCATATTAATATCATTGTCGCTTCGGTTCATCATCTTACTGAGCTTGTTTGAAATTAGTATGTTTTTATAAAACAAACATTTGAATTTAATGAGAAAAATAATTACTATTACTTACAGTATTTAAATTAAAAAGAAATATATTTAAAATTTATCTTTTGTAGAGGTTAAGTTCGACGATGTTGTCAAATTTCAACTGAGTTCATTACACAATATTCTAAAAATATACAAATACATTGAAATTAATTATAATTGCCTTAGAAATTAATGTTAAGATATTTGTTTAGGGAAAAATTAATATTTATAAAAAAGCGGCAGTTGCTGGTTACCGGAAAGCTATAACTACATGGACACGGTATGTGTACGGGAAAAAAAGGTTGACTTATTCTAAAGACCTAATCTGATACCGCTCTGTTTGTGGCAACAGGTCTAACGAAACCGGAGACGTACCTTTTATCTAAAATAAGAGAAAGTTGTAGTCAATAATGGTATATTAACTATCAACCCAGGTGAAATGGAACACACGTCAGCCCTGAAACAATCATTTTTGTTTATCAAAGGTGTTAGGTAATGAAAAAAAATTTAATTCATAACTTATTTTGTTTGTTTGTAAATTTGTTTCACAAAAAAATTTAATAAAAACAATTCTAGGTACCAAAATATAGTGTTCCAAGTCACTAAAATGTTCCATTTGACCCAGGTTTTAACCGAACTTCCAAATTAATATCGAAAGTCAGTGAAACCATTTGAAACATACATGTATATGTTAGAGAAAATTATCGTTGGGCTAACAAAATGTACCTAAATAGTAAAAGTTTTATTTTAAAATATATTAGACTATTTTGTCAGTAGATATTTCTGCATTTCATACTTAAGGATTACAAAAGCTGATTTTTTTTCTAAAATATTATACTTAATAATTATCAATAATAATAATAGGACTAATTACACTATATATTGTGTTAATTTGTATGTGTGTACCTATATAATATTTTGTCTAACCTTGTTTGCAACCTAAAAATTTTTGAGATAACATAATGCACACTGTATATGATAACGGTATGACAAAGGAATTGTGTAAGCCATTAGCAAACAAAACGGTACCAGACACAGTTAAACAAGTGCCAGAGGATGTCTTTCAATCCCAAAACATGAGTCTATAAACAGATTTTACTCTATCAGTATGATTTAGAAAATTTAAATAATCTATGCCATCAATATTATTTACTTAGCAAGATTTTATACATTTTTTGTCATGTGAAATGGAAGAAAAACGTTCTAGTTACGAATTTTACAGAAGATTAAAATTTTTTTCGGGGTGTTGGGTGACTTATTTTGGAGGGGAGGTGGGTCGTTGGGTCGTTTTTAAGACGAAACCAACGAAAGTGGGTTCCTTCCCCGTACGTGTACGTTTGACACGGCAAAACGGACCAACGATACGAACACAACATACTATGTATGTGCAGTAAAACAAACACGGGACAGGGCGCAACTCCCAAGGCGCAACAGAGGAAATAGTCCGACAGTGTCAACGTCGTAAGTCGTGACACGATGAGTGTGTAGTGTATGCGCACCGTTGATTCGATTATAGTAGTAATGATGTTACGTTAAAAACGTGTAACCCGGGGGCTGAGCAAATGGTCTGAGCAGGCCCAGGGGCCCGTGTCATCAGGAGACAGGCGTTTAAAATATCAACACACCCGATAATATGAGTACGGCTGCGTACGCACCTGCGTGACGGGGGAACACCAGCAGCACGAGCACAGGCAGTGGAACTAGCAGTGGCGGCGGCCGCCATCGCCCGGCGACTCTTCTACACGTCCGGGTATCGGTCGCGTACGATAAATATATGATTAGAAATATTGTCGGCCGCGCACCAAACAATCGACAAACGGATACAAAGTCGAGTTTGAAAAAAAACAAACAAACCGAACGGATTACGCCGTCGCGGACCACCACCGCCCGCAACGCATTCTTCTCATCAAGATAACAACAACAACAACAACAACAGATAAATGTGAATTATTTTATATATTTTTATCGCGACAGTATTAATAATTTATCATTAAATCGCGATCCATCCGGAGCCAGCGCGGTAGTGTATGCTGCCGCATTAACGGAACACGGGTCGTCGTCGTCGTAGCAGCAGCAGTAGCCGGGCCAGGTAATAGACGAAAAAAATATATATATCACACACACGCACACACCGCCGCCGCCGCTCAACACAAGGGCCGCGGGAGCGTTTTTATCGATCGGTCGTCTCTGGCCCGCCGATCAATGACGACGCCATTTTGAATTTTCATTCGCCACTGCCGCCACCGTTGTTGTCGTTTGCCGTGTGTAGTCGACGAAATACGGTCCCTGCGGTAGATGTATAGTAATGGATGCTGACGGCCAGCACCGCGGCTCGTGTCCGTAGTACGTACTATGTATATATATATATAATACGATAATAACAATAATATTATCTATCCGTCGCGTTTGCGTCTGCGTCTGCGCACCCGTTGGCCGTCACGCCGCGCGCCGTTTTTCGGTCCAGCCGCTTAGCGATAACCGGCAGCTGTTCGTCTTGTCACCACACCGCACACGCTCGCGACAATTACCGCACCGCACTCGAAAACCAAAAACCGGCGTAAGTAAGATGTTTTTTTTTTTTCGTATTTTAATGTTGACAAAAGCGATATTGTATGTCTCGCGCGCTTATGATTACGATTTTTTTTGATAGTCGGCTTTACTTACGCCACTTACGATTTGACGCTCGTCGGCTGGGTAGTGGTTAACGGAAGAACCATTTTTCCCAGTCGTTCGTTTCCCATTGGCTAGCTCAGCTCGCGCCATCTACCCGTCGTGTCGTTTGGCGGCAATTTTGAATTTGATACAATTGATAACAGACTGGTGTACTGATTGATTGTTTTTTATATTCTTCCCTCCTCGTTACTACTTACTTTCATAAATGCGTGATAATAATTATTAATAATTATATACTTCCCCAAATAGCAAAAAAACATTAAATACATAAAACGTTTTGTTATGTTGTTAAACAAATTTATTAGCGTTTTGATAACCGCTTTTTGATTGCAACAACAAACAAATTTTAATTTTTCTGAAACATGTTTTGGCATGAAAGGTAATGTTTTTAAAATGTTTACAAAATGTATAAACGTTTTGAAAATATTTTTCAATATTTTGTAAATAACATTTTTGAAACATAACATTGTATGCCAAAATTGATATTGATAACATACAAAAAGACTGAGAACATGATTAACAACATTTTAAAAACAAATTTTTTCTGGGTAACAGTGGCGTAATTAGGAATTTGTCTTAGGGGGGGATAGACTATTTTGTACACACAAAAAAACAAACTACTTAATTTTCAAGTACATTTATTTTGTTTGTAATATAATATAATATAATGTACATAGCTCTTTTTTTGTAATAAACATAACAGTATGTAACTAACAATAATGTACATAACTCATTGATAGTATCTTGTGCGAGATCAATGGCTTCTTTTAAGTCAATTTTGGTTTTTTGTAATTATTTACATAACGGTAAGCCAAATGAAAACATTAGCTGAAAAATACATCAGGTAATTGCAACAGACTTAAAATACCTTCTTTTTAATTAAAAATGTTGTTTTTACCTGAACAATATTAACTGAAATTAGGAATTCAGAGTCCATTGATTTTAGAATTATTGATGCATCCGTAGCAGACGAATCCTTCCAATCTGATATTCATTCTAAAGCTTCTACTACAAACTTAAAAAGCTCAATGAAATCATGAATCACATCGTATCTTTGCACCCATCGAGTTGCAAATAGCCTTTTTAATGTTTTTATTTTTTGATCAACATTACTGTTTTCGATAGTAGATAATAACACATGATTTCGTTTGGGAGTATTGAAAAAATTGTATAATTTTTCAACAATACCTAAACAATTTCGTATTGCTTTTATATTGCTTGTTTTACAAAATAAACCAAATTACCAAAAATTGGAGTGATGAAACAACATACAAAACGATAAAGATACTTACCTCATTACAATCTTCTTTATTTTCAATAGAACGATTTTTTTTGAAAAATATATAAAAAGTGTATTTCTAGTATTTTTACATTTTTTTCTTTTTCCTTCCATTTTTAGACTTATAAAAAAAATTGTCTTCTCTATGACACAACTAAATAATAAAATAACTTAAGTCTAAACTCGTGTACCTAGTTGACTTACTATGATTCACGTATCACAATTCACAACTATATTTTAATACACTATACAGTATACATAATATAGTGAAAACTGTTGTCAATTATTATCCAGTTGCTCACACTGCTGATTGTAATTTGTTACCACTGACCACATGCTTAATCTTAATGCCCACATACCGTTTATCGAATGAGACAAAAAGTTGTTAAGAAAATTCCGATAACGTGTATAAATCCATCAGTTATTTTCAGAGCATTTACACAAGTATAATATTGTTTGATTATTGACGTACATTATACGACGACATTGTTGATGTGCATCGTCGCTCCGCAATAAAAAAAACTCAATCGACTGCTATTATTTTAGTTATATTTATAAACTATATAGGTACATAGGAGATTCGGGGTTTACTATAATAATGTTAAATAAGTACATAAATATTTTGTTGAGCCTATGGCCAGTAAAAAAAAAAGGTCATGGGGGGGGATACGACACCCTAATCCCCCCCCGTAACTACGCCACTGCTGGGTAATGTATTTAAGAGACGTTTTAGTAAATTGTTTTAAAATTATTTTAGAAATGCAAAAATTAATGGGTTGAATTGTATGAAAAATAATGAAAAAGAAATATATTTTTAGAAAATATATTTATATTGTATAAATGTTTATATTAAAAATGTTATACATAATATATTTTAACGGTTTTCTAAATTATTTTATTTGCAATACATTATAACTGCAGTCTGCGACGTTTTATATACATTTTAAAAACATGTAATTTCTTCATTCCTTTAAATGTAATAATTTTGTTTGAAAGTAAATATTGAATAATAAACTTCATCGGTCAGGTTCAATTACCTTATTTGTTCACTTAAGTGAATCATTGCTGTTGACTATATGAAGTAAATCTGCATAACCTATTTTGAAAGATAAAACGTTTACAAAAAAAGTTGCTTAGGGATTTCAAAACAATGATTATGGTATCAATTGTAACATAATATATATTAATATAATAGATAATTTTATCTCTACGTTTTTAGCTGCTGATATTATCACAAAACATAATATACTTCCAAGTATAATTTTACCATAAAATACAAAACGTCAAGTATGTCTTAGATATTATAACTTTTATTAATGCAAATTTAATACTTAGTTAACGACTAGTATATTATTTCATATAACTTCTTAATAGTTTTTTTTAACAAATTTATATCTAAAATATTAGTTTTATTTTCTCATATACACATAAAATCACAGATTGTTTAATTTCTTCATTATTAATATATATAGCTATATATACATATCAGAATTTTTTTCTAACACTTGAACACTTTTCTACGTTTCTTTGTCACTTCCTCATAGTCGTCTTCGGGGTCATAGTCATCCTCGATTGAAGGTGAATACCTCAACTTGAGGGTATTGTTTCTTTTTGGTTTTAATACTTCTAAAAACAAAATAAAATAAATACATATTATGTATTAGTAGTAAAAGATGACCAACAATTAAATATCATACTTCTTGTACAGAATTTGCCAGCCCATCCTTGTTGACAGCGACACGTTTTGTTTTCAGTACAATAGCCGTTGTGACATGGCCGCTTACAATCGTAATATTGTTGTACGGGTTGGCCTATTTCACAATGATCTCCTTGGAAACCAAAAGGACACCGGCATTTGTTTATACCTTTACACTTTCCCCCGTTCAAGCACGGTATAATGCATTTGGCTGAAATCGCAATTAATTTGAGAATTAAATATTAAAGATTTCTTATTATATGTGTAATTTGATAGTCTCACTTTTTTCACATCGCGGCCCGTAAAATCCTTTTCTACACTGACAGGTGTCTTTTTGTATGCATTTTCCACCGTTCAAACATTTTTCAGCGCAAATTCCTTAAACACGTCGTTTAGTTGTATAATACTAATCTTTGTACAATCATTATTAATACTGTTATTATTTTATATTTTACAGTTTATCAATAAATTCATAGACAAAATGATTCAACCGTCCGTCACATTCAGCAGAATGATCTGTCAGAGAGGATTACACGGTGCTAGCAAAAAGTTGGATAGTCTCATCAGAGTTAATCATGCCGGAGAATTGGGAGCTGATCGCATTTATGCCGGTCAGATGGCGGTGTTAGGTTAGTATAAAAAAAAAAATTACAACCTTAATGTCTGAGCTGTTTTAATGTGTTGTGTATAATGTTTAGGAAACAGTGAGGTAGGTCCCAAAATAAAAGAAATGTGGGAACAAGAAAAAGTGCATAGAAACAAGTTTGAGCAACTCATACAACAACGTAGAGTGCGGCCATCGGCATTGTTTCCACTATGGCATTGTGCTGGCTATATACTTGGCGCTGGTAATTATATATTGTTTAAGACCAGAATTTTGCAATAATTCCCAAAACCAATCTTTGTTTGAGACATTTGGAGCTGTTGATATATGTTTTAATTTATCTTACACAGGCACGGCACTTATGGGTCCCAAAGCTGCGATGGCCTGCACGGTAGCCGTAGAAACTGTAATCGTGAACCATTACAATGAACAACTGCGGGAGTTGATGGCTGATCCGACATCGGATAAGGAACTGCTAGACACTATAAAACAATTTAGGGACGAAGAACAAGAACATCACGACTGTGGTATCGAACATGGTGCTGAACAAGCTCCATTATATAACGTATTGACAGAAGTAATAAAAACCGGCTGCAAGGTGGCCATTGAAGTCGCCAAACGAGTTTAAAGGAGAGTTTTTAGTTTTTGTAATTGATTTTTATACTCAAAAGTTAAGTTTAAAAAGTATAACATAGTTATATTATCTAATTTTTATAAGTAAATAAATGTATGTGTTAAAAATAAATTATTTCTTGTTGTTACCTCCTTCACAATTTGGTCCTTGGTAACCAGGTAGACATTTACAACGTCCAGGAGCGATACATGTGCCGTTATTCATGCATTGTGGATAGCACAATGCCGTTTTACAATATTGCCCCATGTATCCGTCTTGACACTGACAAATTTTATCCGCATTACACCGTCCGTTGTTTTCGCACTTTTTATCACATTCTAAGTCCGGACCTTGTAAACCAAAACCAATTATATTAATAAATAATAATATATTGATATTGTTTTTTTGTAACTGTGCTTACCAATTACCTACAATAATATTGACGCTAGTTAATTAACATAAAATAAAATTATAATTTCTTTTAGCTTCGATGCGGAGCTGAGAAGGTATTGTTTTTACAATGATGTTTTTGTTTTTTATTTTTTTTGTGTCTGGAGAGTCCAGTCAATATTGCTATTTGTATTTGTACCATTATAGATTCGCATCGAAGCATTTACTCGAAAGTGATTTTGTTTTTCATGTAGACCTTGCCCGGCCTAATATGCTCCATTCCCACTGTACTGTTTTTATTATTAATTAAAGGTATGTGTTTTGTTCTTACTTGTACTTTTACTTGCACTGTTGACGGTACAATTCTTTTTGAGTTTCACCTTTAATGGTGTAAATGGCAAAGCACGAAGTTTCCTGTTATGAATCGACAGACTTATACTGAAACTAGTGTTACCGCCGACATTCCCCGTGCATGGTAATAAAATACTGAATACTAAAATAATAAAAAAACGTTTTGTTGTTGTTTTAACTAGATAGTGCTAAATTTGTATTATAAATACTTGAGTGTTTTTAATTTCAATATTTTACATACTGCTTGTACACATACCTGTGCCAGTCATTTATTATTTGCGTTGTTAGTTGTTACTTGTATGTAATTATATCGAGGTATTAGTATTAATATCAAGGCACACTTTGGGCACAACAACAAAGTCACGACCATGGTCGGCTTATGGTAGTAAAACTGTAATGTATTATATTAAAATAAAAAGAGAATGCACGCGGTAGCAGATGCTTCAGAGACTTTTATAGGTCGTAAAATATCGTAGTCTCATTGTGTACATCATCAGTCTCCTCTATACTACCTACCGACTTACATGATATAGTTATAACAGAAGTAAATGTGATTTTTTAACGATTTAACGTAAAAACACACACATTACACTAGTGGCGCAGCGAGGGACTTGGTGGCCCTTGGACTTGTGGGAGGCGATAATACATTTAAAAAATCTACTTATTAAAAAAAAATAACGTTGTACATTGTATAGGTACTTGAAAAATAAATGTTCAAGCCAACATTAAAGCGAACTTCCTGCAAATTTAATCACCGTGCCCGTTCAATAAAAATAATTAATAAACCACTCGGGCGTAAATAATTGTTTATTATTTCCAGTATTGAGAACGATCGCTCTGCTGATACAACTGTGATTGGTAATATAAAATATCAAATAAAAGTAGTACATACATCTGGTTATAAGAGGAGAATTTTTAACTAGGTACCTAATAACATTTCTACAATTTCTTCTTTCGTTGTTTTGGAATCGGGCGATATTGTTATTTCCCTTGAAGACAAAATCTGGAAAGATATCTTGATCGTATCTTTTTTGTAATTTTTTAATTTCTTTGAATAGTTCCTCGTCGTTTGATCAATTAATGAAGTCAGTTGGCACTAGCGATAACCATGATAGTTTTTTTTTTAATTTATCACTAGGATGGAATTTTAAGTTTAAATTAATTATTTCAAATATAAATATTGTTTGAAAAAAAATAATTTATGTGCATTTTTTTTAATTTTATGATTTAATCTCCAATATGGACACACCTCGGAGCCCCGGTGAGCCCTGCCTAAATACGCCACTGCATTACATTATACGACATTACTATGGAACAAAAACCAAAACTAAATCAAATTTTTAGAATTTTTTTCGCTGAATTCTTATTTCGGATTTCACTAGCACGTTAATATGTTTTTTAAATCACCTCCATAGTCGTACATAAGTTGTAATATCAGAATTTCCTAATTTTCATATGTGTAAAAAAAAAAGTACAAACATTGCATTAATTCTGAGACCAGTTCTGAACGAAGAAAATTAAATAAATACTAACAAACTGCGTTGAAATCAATTTTCGAAAATTTTAATTTACACAACCGTTTTTTTTTTCACGATTAAAAAAAAATAACTAGACGTGCTAGAGAAAATCTGAGACCTGAGTAGGATTTGGCGGAAAACATTTATATTTTTTTGGTTATTGCGACAAAAACAAACAAAAAGGTCAAATTTTGTCGTTGTTCACCTTTGGGCTCGCTCGGTATTCTCCCTTTGGGCTCTATGGTGACTATGGGTGGCTTAAGTATGCTTTCGTCGAACGACCTGAGCGAGTCGAAAACATAAAAGTATTTTTTCTTGCCGGACATCCACGTGAAGTTTACATATCCCACCTGCAACAAATACATGACATAGCGGTTAAAAAAATTGCAAATTGGTGATTTGGTTCATAATGCGCCAAAAATAAAATCTAAATCAAATTAGTCGATGAAATAAGTATAAGATTATAACACAACATCCTATGTATTTCAAATATAATTATAAACACAGATTTCCTTATTTTACCCAAGTTATCTACAACACAAATGTATGTATCATTTTTATTGTGTTGTTTTAATCTGTACGTGTGCAATGTGCATACAGTGCAATAGGACTTTAATAAAATATTATAAGTGATTATACAATTGGGAAACAAAATTGATGATCAGCTTTGACGGAAATTTATTTTCTAAAATGATTATGTACAAGTTATACCTATAATACTAATCGTTTGTTCAGTCAAAACTTATTGTGTACCTATTATTATCAACATAACGGATTTTATGTAGGTTATTTTAATATTTAAGTTAGAAACAATTTTACTTTAATTAAAAAAATACTTAATTATTATTGTTTAACAATTTAATAACAAATTTTTATTTAATTATTTCCACTTGGCTTAGTTTTTAAATTTTGAACATAATTAGAAAATAACATAAAGTATAGAACAATAATAAAAAATAATTTATGTTATACCTCTAGTTGTTTTAAGTGTATGTAAACAATTTTTTTCTTATTTTACCAACATTTCAAAAAGTGTTGATAGTTAATGTTGGAAATGGGTTACTTATACTTAATTCTTCGAATATTTTGAATTATATTTTATTTTTGGCGGAAAAGGGAACGGTACAGTTTTGGCGGATAGGATCACGCCCTTTGACACAGGTGACAGGGTAGAAATATGCATCTTAGAGAGAAAACGATTTTTTTAAACATAAATAAATAAAATCTTTAACTGTGGTCGGTGACAACGTAGTGCCGAAATCAGAAATCTTAATTATTATATTATTATGCACTTACGTATTACATAAAAATGTATATAAATATATATATATTTATTTATATTTATAGTTAAATTAGAGAGAACAAATAAAATAGGCACTGCTAAAAGTCACATAGCGTATAAATTGAGTGGTTTGGGCCTGTCGAAAGAGGGAGCAATACATTTTAGCTAAAATGGCAACAGCCAACGAGCATTGGTCGTAAAATAAACAATTAATGGTTTTTCAATTTTAAATTAAGCTCTAAGTAATTGGGTTTTTGCAGGCCTTTCGGAACAACAGGATATTTCCCAAAGGCCGCAGATCTCCCTGAGATTTTTTTTTCTATTCTTGACTAATAGTCAAGGACCATAATTATTGATGCTTACCTCGGAAGGAATGACTGGTAAATACTGTTCGAAATTTTTGTCCAAAATGTACGACATGACTTCGCCGTCTCTGATAGCGTATATCGGCATCGATATACCTAAAAAAAGAAAACCCAATTATTTCTTATAATTAATTAAGACGTAGTTGATTTCCGTTGAAATTCGATTTTTGACTTGTACAGCATGTAAAATGTATAAATATAATATGGTATACTCTTTCATTTTTTTTTTATGACGATCAATGCGAGATTTGTGAGATACTGCATAGATAGTTTATAACTCTTATTTATTAAACTTTGGAAAATTACCAATCTGCATTTCCTACAGTTACTGGCAATATTGTACAAACGTGTTATGGCTTGTGAAACACATAATGTACAATTAGCTGGTACCTTCTCTTTTATACAATAACGAAGAACTCTAATAATTCTTGAAAATTCTCAGTAATTGCAATAAATTGCATGATTTCCGCTCTAGTGGGATTTCAATTTATTTTTGCATGCTCTTGTTGATGTTTCGAGCACGTATTTAATCGAAGAATTTGTTTACGAGTTACGTAAAAAGTCAAACTCACACTCGGTCGTTTGATAACTGTAGGAATTCTGATGACCAGACTAAACATAGTAATAATAATAATATGGCTGTAGGTTAATGAACATTGTATCGAAGCCTTCAAAACAAAAAAACAAAATTAAAAATTAAAAAAATCTGTTTTATTGGTACCCCACACACACGTGTTAGCGAGGTTAAGTCTTTAATCTTATCTAACGAGTACAATTCTCTGTACTATAACATTTTTTTTTTAATTAATAAATATATATTATATTTTTAAACTAATGTACCTACACGATGTGCATTGGCTTGTACTTTGAAAAAATACACAAATTATTAACCTTTGTAGTTCGAAATTATAGTTGAAAAGTGAATGATATTAAAAATTAAAACTTACATAAACAATATACAGTCAAACTAATCCGGATTTATACATTACAGACAGACGGTTTTAACGTCAGAGCCATGCCTCATTCATGTGTCAAAATTATAGCACAATGAGCGTCTTAACGACAAACTGCTAAAAAGCTGTAAAGCACCTGGATACCGACCGTTTTTTCAGCCAAAACACATATTTTTGTCCATTGCACAGGTGTAACTAGTGATCCGATTAGCAATCTAAAAACAGATATGATTTTTTATGAAGTTTACTTGAGATCGGTCAGAGCGTTTTTTTTCAATTTTTAATTTTAACCCTTTCCAAATTTGAAGTTGAATTTTGAAATTTTATAAAATGTTCAAACGTGTTTTATGCGTAGTAGGAATAAAATATCAAAAAAGTACGCTGACCGATCTCAAGTAAACTTCATGACAAATTCAAATCTGTTTTCAGATTACTTATCGGACCACTGGTTCAGCCTGTGCGATAGACAAAAAGTACTATTATATTAACTAAAATGGCTTTTACTCATAGACAAAATGATTTAAATAAAAAGTAATACCATGATGCTTTTACAAATTAACCGGTAAATTAATTGGCATGGTCGAAATGTATTAAAACCACTATTTCTTAAATATTGCCTATACAAAACTCCTTAAAAATGGTCGGTATCCAGGGGCCTTAATAAAATAGGTAATTTATTTTTTATAATTTGTATCTTATTAAATAAATAATATATATATATATATATATATATAAATTATAAGTATTACTGTTATTGTTTCGACCGTCTTATTTATTATTATTCTTGTTTTTACTATTTACACACTGTATTTTGAAATAATGTACATTTTTGCCTTATGAGCGTAAATAAATAATATTTTCAGATATCATATCTACATAATGAATAAAATTAAATGCGAAATGTAGACCTATATTTTTAATCGCGAAAATTACAAATTACAAGTTAGTCATTGTATGCATTGAATAATAATAATCAAAAAAATACTAATACCAATTACTATGACTATGTGAACTATAAGATAGGCATAAAAAAATAATTTTTACCTTTTGGTTTATAATTTATTGATTATATTATATTATCAATACATGTATACATTTAATTAAATAAAACAACAATGCGTAAGCAAAATAAAACTTGGATTAATATATTTTCGTTAAATTGTCGATAAAATATTTATTTTTGCACAAACGCATTATACATTATTACGTAAACGTACGATTGATGGAAACAATAAAACTATAACAAATTACAAGTATAATAATACATTAAAAGGTCAAAAGTGTTTACGAACTCTGGAATCAATTTATTTCTCTAATCGATCAAAATTAGACCATGCGTATCAATATTAACATTATTTTTTTAATAATAATTTCGCTCGTTAATTATAGCTCATCTAAAACGGTACTTATGGGAAAATAGTATTATCAACCAATAACAAATGTACACGTATGAATGTTTTTCATTTTCCAACTGTTCGAACTAATATTATGAATAGCAGTTATTAGTATTCAATGTTTCGGCTTTCCATATTTAAGTTAACAATACATAATGCCTCACTAAGGATATATGGATATACCATACACTTAAGCCAAGTATGATTCAAATTTGAATGATAACCGGATATTTAGCAATTTATTAGCCTGCACGTACAAACGGTATGTTTCATAAGATTTCGGTCCAAACCGGCGGATTAAGTCTGTCGAAAATTAAATGTTGGCATGGTACTGCTTGATATTCATTTATTCACGTTAAACCATTTTTATTGGACATACAATTACAAAAGGACTAGCCGTAGTAGACCTCTTAGTGCTATTCCTTGACTGAGGGTTGAGACAATGCTGTCCATTGTGTAAACAATACATTTCTAAATTCAACGGATTGGAGATTGCGACTGATCTGCACTGTTTTTTAGTTTTTTGCATTCAGGTGTAATATTTGTAAAAAAAATGTGCATATCATAGTCGTAATGTAGTGTTTATCAGTAATAATTCTTACGTGTACCTTTTTTTTAAAAATATGATCACAAGTGCAGTTAGTAGGTGTCGACTATAATAGTTTATAATATAAGCCCTGATCTCATCCTTCAAATCATGTTATATTGTTTGAGATCGATTTGTCGGTTGTCCTTTTCTCAGGAGGGTTCAATGCAGTTCACAATAATTCCCAGCTGTGCACACACGGACACCGACCAATTGAAGAAACACGGTCGTACACTATTTTTTAAAGGTCACACGTGTTTAGCTATACAATCGTTTTGGACTATCATTATTGTTATTATCATTGTTGAAATGTCGGCATGTCGTTTAGGGTATATTATTTAACGCACGGTAGTCGGATTTATAATATTATAATGTAAAATAGGTATACCGGTTTACGCAGTCCGCAGTGTGTATAAAATGAACAAAGATCCGATGGGATGCATATAGACTAGATATTTTTATTTTTAAGAAGACTACACATCCATTAATTATTAAGGAATAAAGTATAGAAAATTGTTCGCATAATCTTAATTTAGAGCTTATCATATAGTGTATAATTATTAATATAGTAATGAGGATTCTTTACTATAGAACTAATTTCTACAATTTTTTCGATCAATATAGTTTTATGCGAATCAAAACTAAAGTATCTTGGAACTGTTGTAGAATCAACAAATATCACAAATATCATACAATTAATAATTTCTAAAATTATATATAATATAGTATATAACTTATAAGAATAGGTTTATTGTAGAAAATAATTCACAACTTTGTTAACTCGCCAACAATATTATAATACTATTGCTATTATTTTGAAAAATGATGATGTATTCGAAGCTTTTGTACGTACAAAAAGAAAATATAATTATCTTATTAACATTGTGAATTATTTTCTGAAATTTACTTTTTCATAATATTGAGTATTCAATTTGAGTCATTTAACTATTATATAAAAATAATAAGACTATAAAAACTATAGTAGTTTTTCATTGAATAAATAAATTTATTGTAGGTTGGTTTAAAGTACAAACTAATTGTATAATTGCTTTTTGTGCCTCAATCAATGTACGCTTAATCAAGAAAGTTATGGCGATATATCTGAAATAATTTTCCATCAATTCTGAATTTAGTTTTAATTGGCAATTGCTCTATAACCATATTTATTAATTCTAGCGCCCACACGACTTTGTCTGTAAATTAATAAATGGCCGCCGTACATTATTACTTATTACAGTTAATATTAGTAATTTGACTCTGCGAATTTGTTTGTTTGATAACAATTACCACAATATTAGAAATTTAACTGATGATTATCTTGGACGACTGATGTAATATTGTTATAAGGTTCATGACAGGAAAGCGGAAACATTAAGTACTAGGTATTTATATGTGTAGCGGGAACATTACCTCGGTCACTATTGCACAGACAACATTTAGAATATGATCCGATAACAAATACTTATTGCTTGTAAGTTTTATAAGATTGATTGTCAGTGTAATTGTATGCTGCTAATGCATTTTTATATTGTTAACATAATATACATTACAACCTTACACAAATATGTACTGCGTTATTTGAGACGAGACTGATAAATTACTATATTTACTCGCGTTATCAGCGTACATTTATTAGGTATAAAGCGAAAAATGTGTATGATGTTTTTTATTCCGACATCATCGTCATTTGCCTTTATTATGCTGTACAAATGACTCTGGTTATTATTTTATTACATTTACATATAAATAATTATTGGAAAATGATAATGTAAATTAATTTCCATTACGCCACAACATACACGTTGTATTTCCTACTAAACCATTGATTATTGCAGATATCTATTTTTAAAAATACGATTTAAACAGCGATTATCACAGTGAACTGTTGTCTGATCTAAAAATAATTCGGTTAATTATTAATAACCGACTAAAGCTAACAAGACAAACAATTGAGTCAATCAATTGTCAAGGACATGGTGAAATTAACTAATAACAAAAAACGCTAAATATTTTTTATAGCTTTACACATTTTTTTTATAGTGTTATGTGCATGCAGTTGTGGATGAATTAACATTATAATCAAAAAATACGAAACCATCCCCTATCCACAAAAGATAATTTAGTTTTTAAAGTTACAGTCTACAACTTTTATTAAGGTTTTGGTATACGATTTTATACGATCATCACTTCTAACCAACGCTAAAAAAAATATTTATAAGAAGTTTTCTACTTTAATCACCGCGCCTCAAAGAGTTAAGCCTATAAAATCATTTATCAACCAGTCAGTTTTATTAAAACAAGATTTAGCCTTTTCTCAAATTATATAAGCTATTCGCGCCTATGGTTTTCAAATTATGATATATTACATATTGAACTTGACACTCGTCACTCCTACGCCCCTATTGTTTTTCTCTACCATACTGTTTTGGATTTTTAAACATATATATATATATACCGTATAACCTGGTAAAAACTTTTATGGGATTTAATTAATATAATTTACAACATTTCAAAACACATATTTACAAGTTGACTTTCTTACAAAAGCTTCGGTAGTCTTGCATATTCCATCTTTTGGGGATGTGTTCTAACGTTTCAACGTTTCTCGTACCTTTGCTGGCTGTCGACTGACTGAGACAGTTCCGAAACGTTTACAAGAAAGTCATTTGTAAATACGGATGTAGGTATCCTCAAATTCTGTTAGTATTGTAAATAATACAATCTTTTTGTTAGTAATTAATTAACAAAAATTTAGAAATTTAAGTATTGGCATTTTCGTTTTTTAGGTTTGTTGGAAAATATTATAAACATTTAATTAAGGTTTCCTATTAACTCATTTACAATTTTTTTATTTTTAATGTTTAAGAAGTACCATTAAAATATTTATCTAAATAAACGTTTGCTGAGGCTAAGGTGCTACCAAGTTTTTTGACTTTTAATTGCTGTTTTCAGTACGCTTTTGGAAGGAAGGGGAGGGTTAAAACACAGCTTTATGAGAACGAATGCGTTTAGTGCTATAAAATCATTATCCAAAAACAGAAGCGTGCTCACCACTATACATTTTAACTTGTTGTTCGTCTATGTACAGCGACAGGTCTTCTTTGTCACCGTTGACACTTCTGTGCTGTTGCTGGTGTTGTTTGGCGGTGTCGACCGCGACCAAGACGGCGCACCAACACCAGAGCAACGATGGTGTGCGCCAAGCCGGCTGACCGCTGCTGGCTGAGGCCATGTGTGACTGTCGGTATAAGCCGCTGTCGCACCGGTCAAACCCGTAATCGAGGCGATAGACCAATATTGTTTAGTTTATTTTTTTTTATTTGGTCTACTTAAAACCGACCACTGTGTAAACTGAACGAAAGAAACGGCAAGGCGAAACCGATCACCCCGCTGGACACATGACGACGGTAGGGAACCGTATTAATGAGGCGTTAACATAAAGAACGTCGGGTGCGTTTTCACAAATGTTATTTGTTAATACAAAAAATAATGGTTTTTTATTTTACTGGTATAAACTACGCGATTAGGTTCCTTTTGCGCGAAAACGAATTACCTGCGAGAGAGCGAGCGCGAGGGCGCCAACCGGTTGACTAGGACTGTTTTCAAAATATGACAAACGGCCTAACCCAAAGGACCGCAGACCGACTGCGACTGACCGTCTGCCGTTTAGCGGCTGTCGTCGAGCGCTGCTGCGGTGTGGTGAGCAGGTTGCCCCGCCGTCTGCTACCGTCACCACCGCTGATGCGTCCATGAGACCGGCTGGACCAGTTGTGGTGGCTCTTTTGACGCCCGCGCCTACACGCACCACCACCACCACCCGTCGTCACCCTTTTTGTCCATTTTCTGTAATTTTAAACGATAACTTTTTTTAACCTAGCCGACGTTCACAAGCAAGAACACCACAATAATATCATCTTTGAACAATACACGTTTTTTTTTTTTTACCACTTATTGATCAATAATTGCCTTTACAATTATTTGAATGATTTTAACCAAAATTTAAAACCCCCCCAAAAAATACCACAATTCTTAGGAGCCAGCATAAAAGGAGATTACTGCATACAGAAAAAAAATATATATTTGCATTAGACGTTTTCAAACAGTTTGTTAATATTTAAAAAAAATTTTAAACCCGGTTTTGGCAGAAGCTTAAATAGTTACTTTCAGTATAAAACTCACAGCCTCCCCCCATTATATTATCTTTAGGATTAGGGTAGATAAGATAAGGAGGGTTTTCGTCTTTCCTGATAATTCCATAGATATGCCATAGCCCCATTCTAGTTCTACAATCTACCTTCAGTCTAGTTTTCAAACTTAGGGTCCTAAAAACTACGATTAAAAAAGTGAAGTAAAGAAAAAGTTTCTAACCTATCTAGGGGCAAGGGTTTTTGATATTTCTTTCGTTTGCCAACGAATACTAATTTTGAACTATTTTTAAAAATAGTTATAGCGTGCCGTACATTTCAATTGAAAAATGTATACAATTTTTCTCGATTTTGAAGGGAAGAAGTGAACTTTTTTAATTTTTGGCCTAATGTAATACATTAAGCAATCGATTCAGCAAATTTGCGGAGACATCGAAGGTCTAGACGTAAAATTAAAAAATACATTTGTAAAAATAATACTTTTTCAGCTTCGCATCAAAGCTAAAATGTATTTACATAAAATATAGTTTGAAAACCATACAAATGTTGTAATATCGCGATTTTTTTTTTTTTTTACATTTCAAATTATAGCTATTATATTTTTTTAAAACCATCTTCGTTCGATTTTTCATAAATCGAGGGTCGTATGATATAATATAGCTGTCGATTGCATCTCTTCGCAGTTCGGCGGTTTTTCAAAACTCGTTTAGGTCGACCGCGGTGTAATAATAATAAAATTGACAAGTCGCTAACAATATACATCCAATTTATGATGACCTCGAGAACGCCCAACGATACATCATTCGATGGTGTTATAGGTAAGTAATATTGCTTGTGTTTCTTCACTTTCGTCGCCTCCGCCCACACAGAAAAAGGATTCTCATACAGATATTGTTAGGTACACAATAGGTGTACCTATGTATATATATATATATATATATATATATATATATATATATATATATATATATATTATTATACAACTATATCGAAGTAAAATCTTGTGTATACAATCTGTTAGGTGTGGACAAGATGTTCGAACCAATATATTACTTTCGGAAACCTCAATTAGAAATATAGGTATATTTATTTTGTATTCTGCTCAGATGCGGTGATTCGAATGTCTCAATTGGTGAATAATAATATTTTTAAAAAACACCATATTTTTTTTTCTCTTGTTTCTACACAAAATTTTAGTTAAATTGTTTATCTTTCTCTTCTGGCGAACACATTACAAAATGCAACAACTATGAGGGAAGTTGGTTAGATAACACAAATTACGGTAACCAAAATCGTCAGAATTTAATGCAAATCTTATTTGTATAAAGAATGTGCTGAATGTGCAATATGTATGTACCTACTCCCTAAGACTTTGTTCTTCTTCTTTTTGTAGAAAACAAGTTTAGCAGGACGGTGCCGTATTTGGCTTATCCAAACTGGTTTGTATAGACTATAGAGGTAAAAAATCTTACCTCCGAAGTAAACATACACAATTCATAACATCAATACAATATTAAATATAATATATTGTATTATTATGACCATTAATATATAATTGCGAAAACATTATAAATCATTGTTGATTATACCTATTTTTAAAACAAAAGTTATTTATTATTCTGTACTTGTACTTTAAATTAACAATGGCCATTTCAATTAAATAATACATATTTATATTCTTTACATATAAAGTATACTTGAGTATACTGTATGGTACGTTCGTATGTAACACGTGGTTATTCATATAATAACTAAAAAATAAGTGGATAATTCATAATTAATTACAAATTTATAGTATACAGTAATCTATAGTAATCAGAAGTATAACTCAAGTAAAATGCATTTTTGATAAAAATAATTTTAAAACATAATTGAAATACAGATTTATATTATGCATTTTAAATTAAAATACAATCTCAAAAATGTAAGTATCCAAGTATAAAAAAAAAAAATATATTAAATATATTAAATTTGTAATCTGTTTCTTTAAAATTATTTGTATACATTTTTAAAAAAAAATTTGATAACGATATTAATTTAAAACTAAATTAATTTTGTATACATATTAGGATAGCAAATATTAGGATGCTTTACGCGTTTCTGGTTAATAATTTCTCAGACTATCACAGCCTTCCTGATAATTTTCTAAAATACCAGCTTCTTGCTTTCTCAGTACAACTTCTCCAAAAATGCAGATAGAAAATAATTTTTTTAGCTATTTGAAAAGTCAGAAGTTTAAATGGCGCCCCTTCCGATAACTTTTTTTAATAATTTTATAATATAGTCATTATTTAAGTTTCAAATAAGTATTTTTTTGGGGTTTGTGGAAGTATAAGTGCAAACCAAAAATAGTTATACAATTATAAAAACAACTTTTTATTTAGAAACTAAACATTTTAATTTAACTTTTTATATACTTAGTATTCTAAAGAGTTAATTTATGATTGAAAATTGTATAAGCAATCAGGCACGCTGAGTTAAATCTCTTCTCAACAATTATTGAAGATAGACAACTTTTATATTTGACTTTAACGGACCTTCATACTTTTATTACCTATAATCTTCTAATATTATTCCACATATTATAATTAAAATCATCATTTATAAATAGCAACCTAATGTTTTATTTACATTTTAACTGAATGCCACCGCCACAATTATATATTTGGAATTGTTATAAATGTACTTGGAATAATTTATAGAGATTACCAATTGGACAAAAGGATATATTTTGGTATTCATAAAACGTTTCGATTGTGAAATGAGTAGATACTTCAATATGCGATCATTCCATTTATATTCACTGTCAATTAATATTGGTTCTCATTCGAATAAAGCTCTGGCAGTCATTGCTTAGGACGGCAATCTCATACGATCCGCGTTGCTTTACCATTTGTTTTGTTTTTATTTATGTACCTATTTTAGCGATTAAAAAAAAAAATTACTTTTAACGTCTAAACTCTTAACAGTAGGGTGTGATTTATAACAAAAATAGTTCATTTTATACCTACAGGTTTACTAGCCAGATACAACAGTGGTATTGTGTTGTATTGATATTTTTCAAGAGAAAACAAAACGAAATAAAAACGTGTCTAGCAAAAAACATCACCATAATAAGGTAAGTAAAAAATTGTTTTCACGTTAGATATGAACAAAGCTGAGAAGGTTGTTGGAATTTTATAATACTTATTTATGTGTAAAAAAACTTTGCATACAAAAAAGCAGCAAGCAATTTTTTTTTTTACTTAAAAATACGTTTGAAAGATGTTTTTAGCATAAACATTAGAGCATATGGAACATTTACCTTTTGAAAATAATATTTGACGTTTGCATATTATTATACTTGGGTTTTCTTTGTCTTTAGTGACCGTTCGAGACAACAATTACTTACGTTGGTATATAGAAATATATTTTATACTTATGTAATACGTTGGTATAGGGAAATATATTTTATACTTATGTAATACGTTTTGTGGTTGTGATTAGCGATTGCAATCTTGAAGTGGCTATTAGGCTTAGAAATAGCTGCCCGCCGGGCTGTAAATTAGTATTTACATCAGCTAACTGTACAATTAAAATGGTGTAGATTTCATTTCATTTGCGCCAGTCATAGTGGATACAAATACAATAGATTACATCATATAAACCAAGTTTGCAGAGAATATGAAAATTTTTGGATGGTTTTCAGGAACTTCAAATAAATTATTACGTCTGTTACTTGCAAGATGTGTTATCCAATACACAGATTGTACAGCGACTGAGACTGCAGCTGTATTATGTGTTACCTAAAATAGTAAATACCACCATAAAACCTGTTTGTGTTTGATTATTAAAACGGATAATAACCACGGTGTACTCTTGTGGGGCACGTAATTTCAGGTAGTTAAAATAAAATTGTGCTTTTTTAGATTGCACCAAATATGTGACTAAAAAAATTAATACAATTACAAAAATAATACAAAAAAAAAACAATGCGCGTTCAATTTTTTGCATTTATTGGATATTTTATTAGGTAAATTTAATACAGCGTCACCTAATACATATTATAAATACAAAATACAATAGATAATACTGTGGGTGTGTAATAATAACTTAAAGTAAAAATAACAATACTACTGTTTTTTGATAATCAAAATAATAAATTAGACCAACGCCCTTAGTTGGTAAATTAAAATTTTTTTATACAAATATAGTTAATTACTAAATAATGGTAATAATACTGGTGCATACATTTTTTTTGTGATAAAACTTTTAAAGTAAAATATTTGAATTTATTGTGTTTAGTGAACTAACTATGAAGAGCAAATTTTTGCATTTTAAACAATAGGTATTATTTATTTATTATATATAAATGAAATAATCACTTATATTGTAAAAATACATTTATATAAGCTTGGCTTCAAAAAAAAAAAATTAAAAAATATGATAAAAAAAAAAAAATACAGATATAAATAAATACTAACTTAGTTTACATAAAATGTAACATTAATGGAATGCATGTGTTCATTATAGGAAAAAAAAAATACTTATATAAATATAATAACAAGATTAGGGTTTCTATATCTATATTTATTATTATAGGCAGTGAAAAAATGAGGGTAAATTCTTTTGATCAAAAATATATTATTGTTCTCAAAATAAAATACTATTGTAAAAAATTAAATTTTATAAAAATAAAACATAAATATTTTTAAAATAGTTATATCTATTAAATCGTTAACGCTTTTGTGTGATGTTAATTTAATGGGTTTTACTTTAGCAATATTAAATATTTTAGAATTTGAAAAAAAAAATTATAATGACGCCATCAAAAGAAAAATTAGCTTTCAAATAGTGTAAACATAATAATACATACTAAAGAGAATAAAATAATTAGAATCTATACATAACATAACAAATACTCAAATAGGTGTAAAATGAAGCGCAGGCATAGCGTGCATAATATTTGAATCAAACAAGAGTTGGCTACAACAACAACGACTTAAGATTTGAAACTAATAACTCTCAAGTTAAAATTTGTTTAGCATTATTTTGTTTAAAATCTATACACGGAAAATAAATTCGGCAGGGTAGTTTATTATAGATGACAATAAATGCTTGTATTATTAATTGTAGTATATAAAAATTAACGGTGAAATGAGAAAACATTCTTTTTTACCTCTACTATTTAATTATTTTTATAAGCATAATATGACTTTATCACAGATACAGAAATGCTAATGATATATAGATTAACACATACGTTACATAAAAATACAACCAAGTTTTTTTTTTTTTTTAAAAAAGACAGTAATAGCTTTTATAATAATAATTATAATAATCTCAAGCGTCATTTGTCAATTAATATAAAATATAATAATACTGAAATGACAAGCTTTGGTTTAAGGGTTAGGTAGGTAGGCAAGAATTGTTAAAAATGCGTCAAAATAGTACATAAAGAGCAGCCTAATTGGATATATATTTTTTTAATGTCATATAAATAGCAATTTTAAGAGCTATTACACGTATGTGGCAGTAGAGGACAAACCAGTAACAGCTTCAAGAGTCGGTTGTTGTTGATGAAGCGACTGCTGTTGACGATTTTTTCTAGCTGTACCATATTGACCGATGAATGATCCATCCTCGGTAAATTGGGCTGCAACAATTCGAACAGACGTTAGGCAACTTTATTGATCGCTATTGACTGAAGGCAACAATGTACTTACAAAGTTAGACAAGTGTGGCGAAACCGGCAGAAGTGGTTTCGCCTTGTCTTTTTTTACCATACAAGCCAATAAAAGAACCGTCTTCATTCATTCCTTCTATACAAATAAATGGGGAGAAAAAAAAAATCAAAACATGCAAAAATTATAAAATTAATGTGCAAAATAAAACTTGGTATGGGAAAAGCTAACCTACAATATAAACCAAGCAAAATACTAATTGGATTTTTTTTCAGGGTATATGTTGTCAAAAGTGATTAAACTGCGCCAGAGAGAGAGGAGACTTTCTAAGTAGTAACCTAAAATTGCTGTACTCACTCGTTCCTCCTATCCGCGACGCGCCAATTAGAAGTCTTCTCTCACCAAATAAGTGTACACATTTTTTTTTATCATGCAGTTAAAAAACGCTAGCCACCCATAATTTGTTGAGTGAAAAATTCGACGGTCTCCCGGTAAACAGGGTTAGTTTCAAAATAACAATGGGATAACCCTTTACACCCGACTGTTAAGAATTAAAATTTGAATTTTGTGGTGGCATACTCCAATTTTTATCAAAAATGAACTTAACTCATTTTACCTGGAGGCTGTTGAATTTTGAAAGTTTAGTTTGTTTTTAAAAAAAGTTCTGATCTATTTACTACAAATATTTTGTGGTTTTATAACAATTTCAAGACACTGGTTTTGATTTGCGCAAAACTATTTTGTTGGAAAAAAAATACCCTATAAAGAAACTGTATTACTGTATTTATAAGTTACACTATTGTTAAAGCTCTAAATTAAGACTTGCTTGCTTTGACAAATTGCTTATATTTAACTCTTTAATAAATGTGGGTAGGTAGCGCCTCCTTAAAAAAATAAAGGGAACACACAATTTGAATATTATTCAACAGGGTTGAACAGGATCTAAGTGCAACTATTTCTTTTGGGAATAATTTTTGTATAGTAGCCAAACTCGATGAAGTTCAAAAATAACTTCAAGTGTCAAATGTTAATCAGAAGTTTATTGTATTTACCTGTATCTCCTTCGCCAAACTCTATTATTGAATCAGTGTCACTTTCCGGAGATTGTTTTTCACTGCCGTGTCTTTTACCACCGAGTCTAAACACCACATTATTGACAAATAAAAGTTATAACATAGCACAAGACCATCAATTAATATTAATACATACGGCTGAGAGTATTCTTGGAAATGTGGTTCATCAGGATAATCGTGTCGTCCTCTAGCTGCTTCAGATTCGTGGACAACATATTTTCCTCCTCTGTTACGTTTAACCATACAGACGATAATGAGTAAAATAATAAGGAAAAGTAATGCCAATAACATTCCAATAAACCATCCAGTCGTTGCCATATTCTCGCTTCTTCTAATAATCGGATCTAAAAGAATTTAAATATAGAAGTATGTTTTTAAAATAAATGAAAAAAAATTACCAGTGCTTGATGCTTCGATTTCAACCGGGTCAGACTGTCTAGTTGTTTCCCCATCTACAGCAACAACTATAAACTCATACAATTCCCCAGGTTTTAAACCCTTTACATCGATGAAGTCTTTATCAAGTTCTGGCAGCGTTTCTTCAAATAATGTGTCGCCTTTGAGTCTAAAAGTAATAAAACATATAAATGAACAAAAAGTATGTGTACAAACCAATTGTGTTGGCAATTTATGTTACAGAAATAAAATTCAGTGGTGCAGTCATGGCACAAAGGACTTTTTTATGTACGCGGTACATATAACGGAAATTGTTTATCCACAGTTGCGTACATACATAGAAAAGTGTAAGGAGGTAACACAGTTTGCACCCTTATAACTATGTCACTGAATAAATAATATACCAATTACCTGTACTTGACAAAGAAATGCGATCCAGGATTACCATCAAGTTTTGGAAACCAAGTTATGCGAACTGTATCAAAAACATTATTTGTTGCCATGTGTTCATGACTAAACTCGGGTTTGTCTAAAAGAGTGCCTTCTGGCAATGCAGGTTTGGTTTGTTGTTCAATGAAGAACCTGTTAACAAGTCATATATTATACTCTGCACAAAATGTATTTGTTGTAGTACATACGGTTCTCCAAAACCAGCTTTAGTTGTTGCTTTGATGTAGATTCGATAATTTGTTCCCGGTTTTAGTGCAGCTAATTTAGCACTTGTCTGCTCTGGATTTTTTATCAAAGGTCTATCGTCCGTATTGCCGACAACTCCTTCTTGGTTCATGGTTCGATACACAATAGCATATCCGGTTAACACTCCATTTGATTGTTCTGGGGGCTTCCAACTCAACAGAATTGCCGACGATCCCCACTGTTCCGCTTCAACGCCATGCACTGGTCCAGGAACTAATAACACATTTATTTATAATATTTCTCTTCTATATTCTAAATAGAGTAAAATTTCACATTTGTAAACAGAACTACAGTGAATTACCTCCCTCTGGAGTATCAAACGTTATTAACGGGCTAAAAGGACCGTTAAAACGACTATTGTGAGCCAGTATGCGTACAAAGTGTTTAGAGTTAGGTATAAACTTATTAATTTCAACAGTTGTGGTATCAGAACCAACTTGTTCTTCGATCATATTATTTTCACCGTCCCTTTCTGTCCAAAATTGTATCTGTAACAAACGATATAGTAAAAATATAAATTAATTGACATGAGTAAATTTTTACAATTTTTGTATAATTGATAATAACTGTGTAGTTTAATTAATATTGAAATAAAGTTGAAGAATGACTACTTATTGAGCCGTATCATATAATGATTAATCGATTGGAGAAAAACCTCAGAGTCAGAAGTTTTTAAAATTCAATAATAGGTGTACATTATATTATATTTGAACATAAATTATACATAATCAGTAAATGATACGTCTCAATAAGTAGACTCTCTTAAACTTTATTTCAAAATAAATTGAACGTCACCAGTTTTTATCAATTTAATATCCGATTTTTTTAAAAAAAAGTCTACTTGTATCGCTTTTGCAATTATTAATTTAAATGATGTTATTTTTAAAAATAAAATTTACCTTATAGCCTTTGAAAGAACCTTTTAGAGATTCAGGTGATACAGGATCCCAACTCAGTATTGCACTTCTACTTCCGGTCACATTTACTACAGTAAAATTTTGGGGCGTTTCCACAGGAACTAAAAAATTTTTTTTTATAATTGTTAGTATATTATTTTAATGACATTATTGTTGTTATTATAATTTACCATCTTCGCCTGAATATCCAATGATTTCTTGTTGAGGCACATTCGATTCGCCCTTTTCATTGGATGCGATAACTTTTACTTTATAACGCTGATAAGTAGGTTGATTACTAATCACTAGTTCCTTCCTAGTATAATCTGTTATTTCTTCAGAATTCCACACCTGGCCTGGTATATCTTGTTTCCAATATACTCTATACCTCAAGCCCGGAGCATTGTGTTCAATTTTAGGCATCGGCTAAAAGGAGAGAAAATATTACTGATTTACATTAAGCACCCTACAAGGCTTCAATTATTATTCTAGTATTACTTACAGTCCATCGAATAACTAGGTTATAAGGATCGGTACCAGCGGCTTCAACATTTTCTGGGTTTTTATAAGGAACATCTGGTTGAGTGGTACAAACACTGGAATGTAACGACGGAGTTGATCGGCCTATTTTATTCATTGCAATTACTCGGAAAGTGAAATTTGCCCACGGAGTCATCGGTACTAGGTAAGTTTGTTCTGATGCTGGTACATTGTCTGACGCAACTGACCAGGAATCAGGAGCAAAACTAGTATTATATTCAATCGTATAACGCAATATCGGGGCACGGTTATCTCCTTTGGGTTGCCATCTTACAGCTGCTTCTTTCTTATTGCAAGTAATTCCTAATAGCTGAGGCGCATTTGGCTTGTCCTAAAAACAAATTAGAATAAAATAATGTTTTAACATAACAGAATTAATCAAGTTGAAAAAATGTGTACTTGAACAATAAGCATTGCGCTGGCGGTGGCATTGTCTAGATCGGTTTTAGCAAGACAAGTGTAGATTCCAGAATCCAATTCTATTGTTTTTGTTATAGTCATTGAATAGTCGTTAGTTTTTACAAAACGTGGTTCTGTATCAAAGTTAATTGGTTCGTCTTTGGCTAACCATTCAATGTTCAAATGCAAAGACCGATCAGCAACAGCTGTACAATGGAAAGTAGCCATCGTTCCGGCCACTACTTCGTAATCTTCAGGAGCAGCCGTAATTTTGGTATGTTCTATAAATCAAATCAAAACCAAACCAATTTATCATAATATATAAATACATTAAGATGAACTAATAAGTAGTAATGATAGCAGAGGCATAATCGTAGAGTATACGCTGTATGTGTTATTTACCTATTTCTTACTTTTATAGATCTAATCAGAATGAGAACTTAGTTATGATTACACCCACATTTAGAAAAGTGAGTACACAGGGCATATACAGTTACAACTACACCCTAGAATAATAATAAGTGGAATATGCAATTTTTGTTTCATTACCTTTAACAGTTAAGGATCCAGAAGCATTTACAGAGCCATAGTTGTTAGTAGCAATACACGTGTAGTTCCCAGAGTCAGTATAACCAACTTCACTGAAAATAAAATATACGTACTTAAAAATGAATTTACAACCTAAACGCTACATTACATTTGTTTATAAATTAATAATCCTTCCATTTAATATTATAAGCTACTTACATTATTTGCAAATCTCCATCACTCAAAGTCGAATAACGTCCACCGGTCAACTCAATGTTGTTTCTTGTCCATTTTACATGAGGTTTGGGTACTCCAAAGTTTTTACAACCAATAGTCACTGTACGGCCATCGACAGTTTCAACATTTTTCGGAGGTATAGTGATTTCAGGAGCCAAAGCTTAATACATTTTGTATATTTAGTATAATTTTAATGAGAATTATAAATAAGAAATATAAATATACTATAAAATATTTGTAACATACCTAATACATTAATATAAACGTCTTTGTAAACATAACCAAGACTGTTGGTAGCGTTACAACCATAATTTCCAGTGTCATTTTTAGTTAGTGGGGTAATTGTAATAGTGTTAGACGTAACAAATCGCCTTGAGTTTGGTGGTGCTTCCGCTAATGGTCGACCGTTATGGATCCATTTAATTGTCGGTTCGGGATTACCACTAGCTTCACACTTGATTACAGCAGTTTCTCCTTCAGCTCCTTCCACAAACTCCGGTGTCACAGTAAAGAAAGGTATGGCTAAATTAATAAATATTTATAAGTTTTAAATATCATTTTACAAGTATAATATTTATTTATTTATCTTTATACCCATGACTTCAAGTTCAATGTTATACGACTGAGGTGAACCAACACCATTGCTGACTTCACATGTGTACTTTCCTTTGTCTTCAAACATTACTTTACGAATGACCAAACTTTTCCCATAATTTCCCGAAGTAACTCTTTCATTAGGCTGTATAGGCTTTCCGTCTTTAAGCCAAATTGTTTCAGGCAGAGGGCTGTTGAATAAAAAAACCAAAACAATTAATTAACTCGCAATGTCATAAAATAAATAAAACTCACGTTCCACCGTAAATACAAAACAATTCCGCTTTTTTACCCAACAAAGCTACTTCATTTCTCCTGGTAACATATTGTTGTGTAGGCGGATATTTGTTTTGTAAAGCAGTACCTGCTGTTTGGATAACATTCAAATTCACTGGGTTGCCCAATTTGTATTCACTCCTAAAGCGTGGAAAATTGATTATAGATTATAATCCTTTGGCTATAAATTAACATAAAATATTACTTATTAAATAAATGTATACCTAAAAACTGAAGTGGCTGCACAGGAATAAGTAAAACCATCACTCGTATCAAATCGCGTGACATTGGAAAACCACATATTACCTTCAGGATCTAAAGTCATTCGGCTGTTGTTTATACTTCTGATACCACCATCAGTGTTCTAAAATGAATACAAATATAATAACTCAAGACTTTAATGACATAAAATATCAATGAGTTAAAACATATTATAAAACTGGCTAACCCGGGGAGAAAAATGAAAAAGTTTTCTAACGTAATACTCTCAAAAAATGTACAATGTTTTCAGACCAGAAAAATTCGAAAACAGTTTCTTAACCCGAATCCTAAAAAAATGCATTATGTTGTCTGAACAATTTCTAATGTTTTTATACTTTATAGCCCTTATTTAAAAAAAAAAAAAAATGTCCCAAGACGTTTTCAGTACAGACCTAAAAATATCATAGAAGTTGATCAGATCAGTATACTAACACAGTACCCATAAATTAAAACTCATATTTATTAAGATTACAGAATTGATTTAAAAACCCGGGGATTTTAGGATCCTAAAATAGAGATAAGATAAAATGTAGTTTTTAAATCTAAAAAATTCAAAAAATGTGTCTACTAAAAACAACCATAAAATACACCTGCCATTTTGTTTTGACTCCTAAAATATTATTAAAAAAAAAATGATTTTACCTGTATTAACCAGTACACATTTGGTTTCGGCCAACCAGTAGGAGGATGGCATGCAAGTTTAAAAGGTTCACCTTCCTGAGCTTCGATATATGCCTCTGGTTCATCCTTAAAAGCGTTCAATTCAGCTTTCACAACCATGACAGATTTTGAGGTAGCGGTACCCCAAGGGTTGTCAGCAAAACATTGATATTGACCTAAAAAAAAATATATATATATATATCTATTAATATTAGTTACTTAAATATTAATAATTAAATTAAATTACCGAGATCTTCATCTCTCGGCTTGGTAACGGTCAGCGAACCACGGCCAGGTTGTTGTGATATTCTGTCATCGTAAGTTTGCCAGTTATAGTCTTTGCCGTTCTTCATCCAACGATATCTGTTGACAATACATTTTTTTTTACAATATACAGGTTTTAGTGTTTCTCTTAAACTGAGTTAATAGAAGTCGTACTTTGGCGCAGGCTCGCCTTCTGCTTCACATTCAATGATGAATGGTTTATCATTTTCATTTTGTTGAGAAGCTACTTGAAACAATAGTTCATCAACAGCGGGTTGTTTAACAATTCTAGGTGGAGATTGAGCTGCAACATTTAAAAATTATAAACTAATAAGTATGCTATGAATATAAAAAATCAATATTTTTTTTTTTTTGAGGAGGAGGGGTATAAACCGTTATAAGTTAAAAGTTCAATACAAATACAATTCAATTTAATATTATCACAACAAAATAGTGACAAATGTAGTTCTGAAATGTTTAATTTTTTTGGTCATAAAAATAATTAGTTTGTTGAATTAGTTTAATAAAAATATTTTGTATATGATATTTTTGATGGCCTTGATACATAGCCAAAGATTTTGTCAAGCTGCCACCCGTGGGTTGTTTTTCACAAACAAAATGACGAGTCGCAAAACCATTTTACGAAAAATTAAATTATTAAATTATAGTTTAGACTTTAGACACATCGAGAAGGAAAGCCGCAGTAGTAAAAAACGCGAATAAAAAAAAAAAACATAAAATACTCATTATTTTCATCAACTTACTTATGGACGTAGAAGTCGCTAGGTAAATACACAGAAGTGCTGTTGTGCACAGCAAATCCCGCGAAATTCTATTCATTTTTATGAATATTTTGTGCTACCAAATCACTGGCAAAATTTCTGAAACACAACAAAGTGACAACATGTTTAACATAAATATTAACTAAAAAAGACACACGTTAAACAGCGAAGAAGGAAGCGTAACTATTCTGTAGGAAACACAAAAATGCTATTTTTCCATGCCAGAGTTTGATCGACAACTATGACAAGAGGATACAATTGAGTGCGTATAATAATAATAATAATAGCAAACTCATTACATGCTGTTTTGTTTTGTTGCCTGACCAATTTCATTGAGTTTATCAGTTAAGGTTACACTTAATTCAATATATTATTATATTCTGTTGTGTTACCGATTAACGATAAGACAATCAAATTATCCCATTAATCAGCTCTTTACCGCCACATGTCACAAAATAATCAAGGGGCCAAACCTATCTAGGATGACTAAAAATGATGCAGAAAGCTTAATCTCCTTCAAAAGAAACCATAACCGACACAATGATAACCGATGTCATGATCTCGACCAATTACAAATCACATCGATTACTTTACTAATGGGTAATACTAATAAAAAAACTATTATCGACGGCAGAATAAATAAACAAGCCTAAGATGTAATTTATAACCTTGGTCGTAGATAAAAACATGACTTGAATACACCAAATATATTAATATAATTTAAATAATTCATTAGTAGACATGGAAAAATTGATAATGTTTGGCCTGCTAACCGGCCAGATAAAAACTCGTTTTGGTCAGTCCGAAAAAAATAAAACATATTACAGTACAACAAATACCCACCTTTTTTATTTTATAATATGATTGTTTCAAATTAATTGTCACGTAGAATTAACTGTTCTATGCCAGTATTATCCCACATTATTCGATATTCTATTATTAATATTTTTATTACTTTCGCGAAGCACGGAACAAATGCGTTCACCTACCTACTTAGGTTCGAATTATAAATAGATATAAATTGTGTGAGTTGAGCGGATCCCCCGGCGTGAAAAACAACTGTACATGCAGGATATAACCAGAGAGCCGATAAGCGAAACGCTATTTTTGGGTTACAGATATTATTGTGAAACGAGGCGGTTTAAAACAATTATTATTATAATATACTTATGGGCTATGACGCCGACCAGTTTACCGCAAACAGTGAACGTCGTCACCAATGAATAATAATAATAATGATACTTTACACATCTAATAACTTCACGCACGATAATAAGAACGAACAAATATTTAAATATATACCGAGAACAATGAAAACGTGTCAAATCGGAAGGGTAGAGGTCAGAGGGAGTAGATAACGCTCATGACTTACGGCCGACAATTAAAATATAAATTCCCAAATTCATTATACCATTGATTATAAGTTAATATAATAAATGGAAAAGGATTATAGTATTATGTCATCATTTTTTTTTTTTTTTTTATAACATACTGCCTACACAAACTGTAATGATTGTTCTTTTGTCCGTTTAAACAACGGGTCGATTGAATATATTCAACCTAAAAAAACCTAAATAAATAGTGCTTGTGTATGTATGTGGCATCTCGCACATGTTACCCTAATAACAATATAGTAACAGCTAAAAACGCTATTTTTATTTTCTTTTGAAAAAATAATTAACGGTTACGAGGAGAAACAACACCACTTGTTCTTTTAACTGACATGACAGTTTTATATGTTTCGTGCAGTAACCGCCGTTCCCAGAAAACTAAACATATAAGAAAAGATAGAATAGTTAACTGGAAGTCAATGCTAACCACTTTTATACACCGCCTATAGCTGTTATAATTTATATAATATTTATGTGCACGGTCAAACGTCAGATGATTGTCGATCAATAATTAGACAATTAATTTTAACCGTAGAATTAGCGTTTGAGTGACATCAAGGAAAAAGAGAGAGATAAAGTGAATACTAACACATCCGTAAGCACGTGGGAGCAATAGCAAAAACGTTCAACAACTACGAGATAATAATAATAATAAAAAAAAAAAACAATATTGTCCGATACATTAGTGTAGTTTACCTTTTGTGGAATATGTTGAAAACAGAAATTTATTTTTTGTTGCTAAAAACGAAAAACAAAATTAAAACCAACAGGAAGAAAAATATGTGGTTATTTTGATAACGCCCCATGCAATCGGGTTGAACAAACCTAAGGTGTAGAGTTGGCGAAGAAAATCATGATTCATGACTCACCGTGACCAACAGACCAAATTACCCAAGTCGACAGAATCGATACGTGCTTACTCGGTGTTAGTGTACTTACAAAATTATAATAACAAACAACGAGATAAAGAGAGAGCAATAGGTGTTTATTTGTACCGCTGAAAACAGAACTGGAAATATTCATTCTGCGTCACGTATTTAATTATAACGAAATCGGCTGTTTTTTTTTTTTGATGAATGAACCCATAGAAGTATACAACATAGTAAAATTCGAATGACTCACTATTTTTGTATTAACGCGACAAACGTCATTAAACACACGTCTTCTGTAGGTCACGAATTAAAATAAAATAAACAAAACAAGGAGTAAAAACCTTTTATATGAATATAAAGAAAACCTGATACCTCCACAGCTTCGCATCGAAACTTAAAGTTCTCAATTCGTAAAAAAAACAAGTTGTACGTTTCTCGGTTTGTTTAAATTATAGCTTAAATTTCATAAAAAGTTTAGCCTTCAAAATTATATCAACATAAAAAACAAGCTTTCAAATAGCTAAAAATATTTTAACCTAGTTTCTTCAGAAACTAAGAAACTAGGTTTACTTATAAACATAGTTTTGGCCAATGACCATTTTTTTAAATTTATAACTAAACCGACTTGGGTGTATATGTGTGTGTGTGTATGTGTATATATATATATATAAAGCAAACACCAAACACAAATAATTTATTAAATTAATTACAGTTATATACTTTATTTGTGGGTAAACCGTAAACAATTTGCCTTGTTCGCCAATAATTAAAAGCCTTGTTTCTCATCCTGTTACGGTCATTAGACTGAAGTAATCATTTCTACGTTTGAAAACTGAATATGTAAACCTTCGAAACATTGGCGAACTAATTAAATTGTAAATTATATTTGATATATTCCAAAATTTTGGAACTTTTATCTATGGAACTAAACAAATGCACCTTTTATCAAAGGTATTACTTATTAACTATTAAAATGTCCGGTACTTTTTTTTTGTGAAATAAGTGGTTGTAAAAAAAAAATATATATACGTAATATATAAATTTAAAAACATAAACTACTATTTAATTATTTTTAATATTTTCCTACGAGTAATTAGTTCCTTTTTAATAAGATAATTAATTGTAATTACTATTTTCCATTATTTTGTAAGTAAACTTTCTACATAAAATTACACTGTATTAACAATAGAGAATAATAAAAATAAAGAAATTACATTTGTATCACAGTTAGTAAGTTAGTTAAATTTGATGCAATACATCTATATACCAATCATACAATTTTACCTATATTAATTATCGTAATTGTTTTTTACACAATAAATATTATTATATCTTTCTAAAACTACATTAACAAACACAGGAGTACTTATTTATCCAACAGTATTCATAAAAAAATATATATATTTACTTTTCTTGTTTAAATTTTCCTAGATATACCAAATCAATTAAATTTTAATCTTAAATACCTGTTGATAAAAAAAAGTAGTTTTACCTATAATGATAAAATTGTTACTATGATATTTGATCAACCCTTTAATACACAATTTATAGTTACTATTAATTAAGAATTCATTCCTAAATTTGTAAGTTCTTTAGAATTGACAAATTACTGTACTAATATGGTGTTGACAATATTCAAACTATTTAGTGTCATGTTGTAGTTACAAGGAGTTACACCCATTTCTCAATTTAAATAAAGTGTATCTATTGTGATTTGTTAAGTGTTGGAATAATAATAAAAACAAAGGTGTAAATTCATTATGTTAAGCAGAAGAATAATAATCTTTCAACTATTCTGGTGATCTATTGTTATAAAGGATTTGCCCTGCACAATTCCCTTCCTCAGTAGCTATGAAGTTAATATTATTTTTTATTATTATTATAAGTATTATTAAGATCAGTCAATTGTAGTTGAAGGATACATACCATTTAATCTTTAATAGTAAATCATAAATACAATTCATTAACGACCCCTATCCCCACGTAATAATAAAGTAAGGAAGATTTGTATTCCAATTCTAAACAATTTTAGACGTGTCCACGCCAGATACTTTGGTAACGGAATACATATGTAAAAAGACAACAAATTTGAGTTTTAACTGTTCATAGCTGCTTTGAATTGTTTTGAATATAGCAATAAATTACATAATTTAACGAATATATGTACTAACTTGTCGCTACCAACAAAAGCGGAGGGAAAAAATCAATTATTTGGCCAAATGCTCGTGCACTAGGTAATATTCATAATATGAACACGGTAAATATTGGAATGTCACTTACCTATATGACTGTAATGGGCGTACGGACAGTCTTCAAATTAAACATTACTTTAAAAACAAAAAAAAAAAACTTAACATAAATAATACTAAACTTTACATCCTATATTAAAGATTTAATTCACAACCGATAATACTGAATACGCATTCTTCAACAATTGACCACTAATACCCTCAGTGCTGCTGTCACTACTGCTATATTGCTGGTTGCAGTTACACCCACAAATAAACAAAACACACCGTATTTCATGGAACGCCAAACAACGTTCATGGAAGAAGTAGAATTACCGCCGCGCGTAGCCCTATAAAAATCAGTCGGTAGGTGCCGCCGCGCCGCGTCAGGGCAATTAAATAGGACATATTATCACATAGGTATAATCACGAATTCTTTGTTTAGGTTCGGTTTGCGCATAACGCCTAAATGTTATGGTATTTTTTTGGCTATAAAATCATAAAGTGCACTGATGGGGTTTGCAACTTGCAAGCCGGGTATGAAGAAGGTATGGCTTGCGTACCACAGCTGTTAAGCCGCATAATATAACAATTCAATTAATTTGAGATACCAATATGAATCATTATGAATATTTGTTCTTATCAATTATCAATACTGATTACTGATATTTGATATCTAAGACCGTGTCGTTTTTGATAATACGAATTAAAATAATATTATTTATTAATTATTATGTTTTATAATTTATAAACTTTAACATCTAGTAAGTCTACTCTATGTCTTCAACTACATCACTAAGGCTTAATATAGTTTTAAATTTTCATTTCGATAAGATAACTGTTGAAAGTTTTCTTGTATTGGTAAATTAAAGACTCACTGACATAACTTAGGTAAATATAAAGCATAAGGTTAATATGTTTTTTTAAAATTTGTTTTAAAATTGATTCTTTTTATAAGTTAAAAAAAAGCTGCCGTAACTAGAAAATGTAAACATTTTTTTGTATTAACAATACTATTGTATTAATACTTAAAGTTCTTTGCATACTACAAACTGATTCAGCCATTAGCAATTTTAACTATTTATTTTTTAACTGTTCTTCATTATCATCATCATGTAGCATAATAGGCCATGAAGCCCAACGCTGCTATCATGAGATGATTTCTTGACAAATTTGCTATTCGGTATAGGTCGTCAGTCTGTCGCCGGACATTGCGGAATTTGCGGTTGCTTTTTACCAGACAATTGCTCGCCCAGCAATAAACTATACATTATTCCATCCTGCCATTATGCTAAATTTGTCATTTAATATCATGTTCTTAATTATATAACATTTGAGACTAAGTTTGGATTTAAGTGTAAATAAAAATAAAGTGACTACATAAGATTAATTAATTTTATCAAAATAAATAGTGGATTCCAAGTCACACAAACTTAGGCTTTTTAGTTGATAAAAGTAAAATAATTATTTTTGATACAAAATTGATTACCTCTCAAATATGTCACTGATATAATCAGAATAGTAATATAAATTTTATAGGGGAAAAAAATTATTTCTTTTTCATAAATTAATTTGATATCAATATCTATTTTATATACTGTAATCAATCATAAATATCTTTAAAATCTGATTATGTACCAAATTATAAGATGTGTTAAATTTACATTTCTTTTGTAAATTTATCTTTTATAAAAAAATTGACTGGAACAATTATCCCACAATATATTGTTGGATCTTTTGTACATGTATGGTTATGAAAAAGTAATTAAGCAGAGTAATTAATTAACTGAACTTAAGTGCAGTTATTTTAACAAGCATTATATATCCTGAAGTAATTAAATTTTTATTGGTATTGGTAAAAAAGCATCCTATAAAAAAAATTATAAATGAGGAAACAAAACAAATGTGTTGACTATTGATTATTATTAAATTTGTTTAATGTCCTGGTTTCTAGAAAATTATTCTTGGAAAAATTGTTATACTAATAAGTAGTATCACAACATGAAGTATAAATAATAACATATCAAACAATTCAACATTTCTATAATTGTTTTTTTATTATTAATATTTTTTAAAAAATAATTATAATTTAAAACAACAGTATAAGTTCATAAAAAATTATTTTACTTTTCTGCTACTAATCAACAATAAAAGTAAAAAGTTTACATTTATAACACAAAAATTGAAACTAATAGTAACTTGATTTTTTTTTATTAGCTACTTAAATTTCTACTATCTATATATTAATTTTGTTTAATATTTATTATGTTTCTAGAACTAAGAAATGGAATCGTTGATTCTGGAAGATTTAAAAGATTTGGGAAGAACTATTTCTGCTCAAGAATTTGAGGAAGCCATTATTGGTGGTGCAAAATCTATAACGTATACGAAACTTGTTGAATGGATTACCAAAGAAATTCAGACCTTATCATTATTAGATGAATATGTAAATTCTTATACCTCTGAAGCTGATTCTAGTTCATTCTTATTAGAAGTTAGTAGCTTCCTGAAGGAATTAGGATGTTCCTATAGTGCTTTAACAACAGGGCATGTTGGAGATCGTTTAAACTCCAAAGAAAACAAATTATTATTGTTAGACTATTTAATTGGCGAACTAAGAGCATCTCGAATTATAAAAACAAATAGTGTAAGCAAGAAACCTAATATGCAAGTTGCACTAATTGAAAGTAGTCCTTCCAAATGTCTGAGAGAAATATTAATTACTTTAAAATACCCAAAACCTCCAAATGATATTACTACGTCCGTTTTGTTTAGTAAGATTGTGAAGAAATTACAAGAGCTCTTAAAAACTATACCGCCAGAGTTGATCGGGAAACCGATAGTACGTAATTCCTTTAGTAGTAAACAATGGGAAATAATTAACAATGAAATTGAACTACTTAATGAAGACTTTACAATTCGAAGAACTATGCTGTTAACCAGGCTCGATGTAACAGTCCAGTCGTTTCAGTGGCCTGATCGTTTAAAAAGCAAGATAGACGATCTTGAAAAAATCTACCAATCTAAATTAGATTTAATAAAAGCTTTACCTAATTTTACCATTTCTGATGTTATATCAGCTAGAGAAGATTTAGCTATTGTTGAAAAAACATCGAGTACCTTAGCTATTCAAAATACAAACTCGTCTGTAAATAAAGTAATCATTGGTCAGGTGCCCGATAGGGGAGGTCGACCCAAAGAACAACAAGCTCCGCCTCCAGAAATGCCAAGTTGGCAGCAAAGAAGTCAATCACATAACAATAGAGGCGGACTACCAATGAGAGGAGGCCAAGAAAGAGGTCGCCAGCAAAATAGAGGCGGCCAAGGAAGAGGTCAGCAAAACAGAGACAATCAGTATTATGGAAATTCAAATATAGGCGGTTACCGAAATGGTAACGGTGTTTACCAAGTGACTGATGGGTTTCAATCGATTAGTGTAGGAGCTAGAGACTCATTCCAAACTAGTGGTAGTGGTCGTGTACAAGGAGGATGGAATAATAAACCAAGAGATAATTATCAGGACAACAATTATCGAGGGCAAAGTACTTATGCTAATCAAAATGTCCAACAAAATACAGGCTACAGCAATAATAGTTATCAAAGTTCCTCTGCCAGCCGAGGCAGTAGTAATCAAGACTACTATAATAACGACAGAAATTATAATCAAAATGATTCTTTTGACAACAGCAGACGAGGATTTTCAAAAAGGGGTAGAGGTCATGATGGACGCACTTATTACAATCAACAGAGAAACAACCAAAACTACTAAAAAATATATATTTATGTAGTAAAATAAATTAATAAGGTCCAACCTTTAAGATTATGTTTATAATTTGAACTTTCTTTTGTACTTTTTTTAAAAAAAACTTAATTTTATACCTAACTTAATAAATCTTACCAAGTCGAAGTATTTAAATGTTAATCTACATTAAAGAAGAATCTCTAAATTAATTAGGCACTAAACATTAATTTAATATATTCAGTATAAATATGAGGTGAAAAACTTGTAAATTAATAATATATATCATAAATATATAACTCATTGTACCTAATAAATAAATTAACTAGCGAATGACTTAAGCTTTTTCTAGATAAAAACATCTGTAATATTTTCATGCGAGGTATTTCACTACAGTTTTTAATGAGCTAAAAAATGTAATTAAACATGTCAATCAATAGAAATTTTAATATATTCTTTTTTTCTAAAAAAAAAACACAGAAGGCAGTATATCATAATGGAGCGCTAAATGAAAAAGGTTCTTATGTGTCCAAAAATCTTTAATTCATTGAAAATGTATAGTTTTTAAATAAAAAACAAAAATTTTAATCACAAATCTAACTTGCCCTCAATAAGCTATAGTAGTGGGTTATATTTAATTACTTATAACTTATAAGCATCATGTATAAGTATTAGTGTTTGAAAGTAGTTTTTTAAGTGCTTTGAACTTGAAGAAATAGTCATTACCAATAGGTACCTACTTACTTATAGTTCTTGGTAATTATTTGGTCATTAGTAATTGCTGGTAAATCAAAGTCTATGTCATTATTTAAATCATATTTAATACTTTATTGTTTACGACGAAACTATATTTAATGTATACTAATTAATTAAGTAGGTATTGCATTTAGTGTTATAATTATTATTACCCACTGATTGCTATATACATTATACATTAGTCAACGTAACATGTGTTTACTAACAATTCGTTAAAAATTGAGAAATGTTATTTACTATAACAAATGTGGAGACTATTATCTATACTACATTATGTGGACATTTATTGATGAAAAAAATGTTTTACTGTGCAATTTTAAAGTTTGAGTTTTTTTTGTATGTTTTAATGAATTGTAAACATTTAGTTAATTAAGTAATCGAAAATTTAAACAGAGAGTTCTCTATGTTTCTAATTTGGTGATTTTACAATAATTCCAAGACAAATTTTGTTTAGATTCGCGCAAATCTGTTTTGATGAAAAAAACCTGTAATTTTTACTATAGAAATGTCTGATGATTGTGATAGTCTAAGAAAAAAGAATAACCAATAAAAAAAACCCTCATTTTTATATTACCAAGTATGTACTATAGTTTAAGTTCTAAATTAAGATTTACAAAAATTATGTTTTACTCCTTAATAAATTATAATCCTTACTCCTTAGACCTTACTCTTACAAAGGTAATACCACAGAATAGAATAAGTAGTAAATTTAGTCTATTCTGTGGTAATACTTTGATCATTATCATTTGGTAAATACTACACAGTATACTGTACATTTGGTTTTTCTCTTATCACAGAATTATCATGGTAAAAAAGTTTGGTATGTCAGAAACTTATGACAATTTTGAAATGGCCGTCAGCGTTTTCTGGACACCCTAATATTTCTTATAGGAAAACGCCAGCGGCCATATTGAAAAATTGATAACACAAGCTGAGCACACTTAATACTTGTCTATTTTGTTATTGAGGAAATTAATTACGATTGATAAGATTTTTAATAATATGAAAATTGAAAATATCAAGTGCACTGTATAATTAATTTATTCTAGAAAATAAAAAATACTGATTATTAAATTGTTATTACTATTATTTATTCTTTAAAATAGTTAATTTTATTAGTACTACATCAGTGTTATTGTGAATTTTTTTACCATTTATGTAATCATGAAGTTTATTAGAATTAGGAGTTTATTTTACAAGTGTAAGCATACAATTTGGTCGTCAAACCAGCAGCGGATATCTCATGTCACACACGGATTTTTGGTTCGTCGATATTCATCGCTTTCTGATAAGATTTCCAATGTTTTGTTAAATAACGCTGGAGTACGGTCTTATATAGAAAATCTTATATCTAAAGGTTATTCTGAATCAATGACAAAACCAAAAGTTTTGTCTCTTTTATCAGCCATAAGAACATTAAAGGATGATTTACAATCACTCACTGAATTCGATATAGGTCAGTGAAGGCTAAGAATTAGTGAATTTTCTTCAGTTTTGAGTAAATTTTATTACTACATTTTTAAGGAAAGGAAGATGATAAAGAATTTACAGCGCAGTTACTAAAAGAAAGAGAATCAATTGCAAAGCAATTGAATGAGCTTCAACTTGATGTAAGTTTTAGAGTAACGTTTTTTAAGATATATTATTGTGTTAATTGAATAACAGGAGAATTAGCTTTTAGGTGCATTAGTACCGTGCGATGAAGATTCAGACTGTACAGATATAATAGTTGAAATAACAGCCGGCGTCGGTGGTCAAGAAGCTATGATTTTTACTCAAGACCTCTTCGAGATGTACAGTTCTTTTACAAATTACAAAGGATGGCAATGTGAAATAGCTGATTATTGTCCTACAGATATTGGTACAAATTATGATAAACATTGTTATAATGTCTTAGCACTGCTAAAATATTTGTATACAGATTCAATTATTTTGTAGGTGGTTTGAGACACGTGGGTTTAATGATATCGGGCAATAATTGTTATCGTTTATTACGACATGAAGGAGGTGTTCATAGAGTTCAACGTGTTCCTAAAACAGAAAAGTCTGGAAGAATTCATACAAGTACTGTAACGGTTGCTATTTTACCTCAACCAGCTGAAGTAATTATCACTAATTTATAAAATATAAACTTGAATTATTAAAATATAGCGTTGAGAATAATATTTTCAATATAAATAGAACAAATAAATAATAATTAAACAAAATAGTAATAATAATTTTTTTACGGAGAGGGTAAAAATTGTGTTTATTGCATATCCATTAATTTTCAGTTTGATTTAGTGATTAACGAAAGAGATTTAATAATTGAAACCAAACGAGCATCGGGGGCAGGAGGACAACATGTCAACAAAACCGATAGTGCTATCAGAATGCATCATAAACCAACAGGTATTATATAATTTTATAATGGTAAATTAAAACAAATATGATTTTACATAAGGTTCTTTTATATTTAGGTATTGTTGTTGAGTGTCAAACTGATAGATCACAGATTAAAAATCGTAAGATAGCTTTACAAAAATTAAGAGCAAAAATTTACCAAATGCAATTAGACGAACGACAATCGACCACTAAATTAGCTAGAAAACAACAGGTCAGTTTGTAAATATTGTTAATTAAAACTTCTAACTAAGTATGTATTATTTAAAAACAATTTTAATAGGTTGGATCTAGTGCGAGATCAGAAAAAATTAGAACGTATAACTTTAATCAGGATCGTATAACTGATCATCGATTGAGCAAGAATTATCATAACTTAATTGGGTTTTTAGAAGGCGAAGATCTCTTGGACAGAATAATTAATGACTTAGAGACCATGTCCCAAGAAAGTTTACTGCATGAATTTATTCAAAGTATTTCACAAAAAAATTAAATGTATTTAGTTGAAAGTGAATAAATAATGTGTTAAAAAACGTAATATTATTTCAAACAAATTATAAGACTTATTTATTAAATAGTTTATTACTAGTTATATATTTTTTATTTGTTTGTTCTACTTCATATGATTATTGATAACGATAAATACCACCAATGTATATTTGTATTAACCATAAAAGATCTTTTTAGCAAATGTAAAAACCATAAGGTGAATTATAAATTTCCTAATAGTGTAGTATGTTTGTAATATGTTATCATCAACATTTTTGCAACCGTACATTTTATAGAGTTGGTCTCAAACAAATATGCAAAATTTGTTTTTTTCGTAGATATAATATTTTATGAAGTTTCTAGCTTTATAAAAGAGGGAAAAATGTTTTTACAAATTATTTGTTCAGATTATTTTTTTGTAAATATTTATTTTTTTTAAATAATATAAAAACAAATGTAAACAAAGTTTAAATTTTATATAGTCATAGCCGACAAACTTGATATCGGATCAGATAACTCTGTTGATATTAAAGTTATCTAATGTAAAAACAAAGATAGAGATTTTGATTTTAATTTAAGACTAAAAAAGGAATTATAAAAAATTGATTGTAAAAATTAGAATGATTAACATTGATGTGGGCGCAATTAAATTACCCGTACCGCACATTTTGTCGTAAATCTCGTGCTCCTATAAAAAAAAAACAATTTAAATATTAATATGAGAATAATTAAATTAATTATCAGCCTCAATTCAACTTATTAACTAAAATACTGTAATCAAAATTAATATCGAAGTCTTCTACATGCTATTGTAGGATACTGTACGAGAAGTAGTGTTGTTGGGTAGATAAACTCACTTGGTGATGTGATCGAATGCAGTTCATTTTGGGCCTACACCGTGGTAGACTGTAGATGGCTTTTTGGCAACTTAACGAAATGTTTGAATAAGGAACTTCTTGAGGTATGGTATCAAAGTTGGCTGGCTGCATATTCCCCAGACATACAGCATTCACCACCAACAGTATTAGGTTTGTGTTCATTATTTTTCGAACTTCGTAAGGTCTAGATTTACAAGTAATAAGATAAAATAATTGTACAATTAATATTTCCTAGAATAATATTTTTTTTTATTACGAAAAAGACTGATGTCACATTTGGAAATTAACATACTCGATTGTATAATTGTTAGACATTTTAATTAGGATCATTTTTTAAATTCTTTACCATCATGCAGGTTAAATTTTTTCGGGTGTTACTTATATTTGGAATTGGGCATTATTTAAATAACTTTTTATTTAAATTATCACATTTATATAAAAAAATTACCTAAATGCAATATTATTCGAATAATGTTATTTTGAATTTATTGGAATAAAAATTAAAGAACATTTTTTTTTTTTTAAATATTATCCTTATTATCATACGAATGATGCCCAAGTCCGTTTATAACGTTTGGTAACTCCAAATTATTTGAACTTTGTTTTTTGTATAACAAGTCTCTACGAATAACGTTATTTAAAAATGATCTAATACACAATATTGTCATTTTACTTCAATCAATACACGTTGTTCGATTTGTGTGAATTAACTCAATGTTGCCCAACTCGATAAGTTTTGGTTGGCCATTCTTTAGTCTACAGTTTAATTTGCTTTATTTTTGGAATATCTATACCTAGCCATATACGATTTTTATCTTGTTGACAAAATATCTAAGCTCACGCGTTCAAAATATGAATCGCTTAATGTAAAATACTATATTCGAAAATTGTTTGGCTTTAGTCCCCTTTTTACCTTTCTGTAACAACTTTATGAGTTATTATTATATTGGCAGAAATCTGAAATATCCTTTCAATGTCTTTATTTTTTTTTTAATTCAAGGGTTTATGTTATGTGAATTGCATAGATAATTATTATTTATGTATAACGTTGGTCACCTGTCACACATGGAATTGCGTTCCACTCGTTCGGGTATCTTTGAGGTAAGCGTGTACAAATTGACAACGCGATCGCACGTTTTTGGTCGTGTCCGATTGATCATAACGTACTTAAGCGCTTTTTCTCCTTCGATTTTGAAACTATTCAAAGTCTCCGAACTGTAGTTGCTCTCTTCGTCTTCCTGGTAGTCTGGTACTGTAATTATTTTTGACAATAAGGCGAATTAACGTCGCGTTGGTTGTACTTGGCTTTCTTTCGGTTTTACAAATTATTTGCAACATCAATTTGTAAAACCTAAAGAAAATCGTAGATATTCATAAAAAAAATCATCAAGTATGTATACCAACAATTTTTATTTATACTATAAGCTTAATGTTGCGTGTTATACTTGTGACTTCTAGTATTCTCGTTTTTTAAATTTCGTAGAATATTAATAGTAAACTCACTGTGTTCAAATATGGCCTGCGCCTGAGACAACATCCATTGATAATTCGTGTGAGCTGCTATCCACAGTACGCGTCCGATCAGCCATCCGATCATTTGTCGCAAGTGATGTATCGGCTGAAAATAGTTGAACGAGGTATATTCTATTTTGTAAACATTATTTTAGTCCAAAACATATTATTTCTGTTATTTAAGTACCGTATTACTTGTACTTATTCATAAGAATAAAATTTATTTTATAGATTGTTGTTAAGGTATTCTAACAAAAGGCTAATATTGTACTAAATTATCTTAAATCTGACAAATTTCGTAATTGCAATCTACGAACAACGAACAACTAGTTAGCAGAGTTGGACATAATTAAATTAAAAGAATAATAGATTAATGTTTTATTAGGTATTTATCACGTGTGACGATGAGCGCCACCACAACCTACATTATTTTTCAACCAAAACGGCGTTATGTATATGCAATTTACTTACGTTACTACAAAAAAAGTAAACTTCACATAAAAATAAAAATAAATTGAAATCCGTCCAATAGAATTTTTGTCAAAATCCATTCTCCTTTAACAAATAGCCTTTTTCGTTCCTCTTAAGAATTATGTTTAAATCTAGAACAGGTTTTTTGGGAGGGTACAAACTGGTAAAAAGTGTCATAGTATTTATAACCGAAAAAGCTTTATAGTGATTCCCAACCTATGGGATATGTAATATTCATTAAGTAATTGGCGAAGCTTTTAGATTAATTGATGTGACAGTTAGCCATCCGCTATAAACATAAGAATATCTAGTTATCTTTATGGAACAGTTGATACTGAATGTTAGAAAAAAGGTAAGAAACATTTTTTTTTCGTGTATATTTATCTTGTAACGCTTAATATACTTACGGTGTATAGGAACGATGAACTGCTGGCGTCGCCTTCGTTTTCCCGATTAAAGCATACCCCTTGGTAGTCGTAAATGCGGATTTCTTTGTAAATCTTTTCAGCCACCATCATGTTCATTACGACTCCGTTGATTTTACCAAAAAACAAACCAGTCTCTTTTACATGTTCCGACGCCAATACGTATCCGTTATTGTCCAATATGAAACAGTCTTGTTCTTCGGACAGACACGTGTTTTTTGGCGTACACCCGTTCTCCGAAAAACACTATAGAAAATCGTAAAGACGACTAAATATTATTAAGACCACCAGAAAACAAAAAAGTCGTTTTTACCTGACTCGTTATGTTGGTGAATAATTCTTGGAGCGCCGAATGCCTGAACTGGTATCCCACTACGGCGGCGGCGGCTTTCTTGTTCTTGTATTCCTTGCTCGCGACGAACACTGCTTGGCTGGCTGTAACCAGCGTAGATTTGTGGTCTTCTAACAATTAAAAAACAGGACTTGAATTAATAAATGCGCGGCAAACAGTATCACGAGGAAATATTACCTAAACAGAACCATGGCTTAGAAAAAAAACATGGGACACTCTATAGTCTATACATGTGTACAAATAAAAAAAGTCCTTACTATATTGCTAATTTACAACTTACTACGCGTGTTACGCCACCGTACCTCTTAGTACAATTTGGATGTATTGTGGAATGTGAAGAAAGCCAACATAGTGGGGATTGGAATATAGTGTTATGGGGGAGGTTACAGGTAAACTCGTAAATGAGAGTGATAAAATAACTTTAAAAACACCGATGCAAATCTAATACTGGTAAAAGTTATTAATAAAACGATAACAGCCACTATATAGTATGCTATAATATGCAAAAAAATATGTATTTATTAGCTAAATCTTGTAATTTGGGTCTAACCCGATAAACAATAAAGGACATATTTACTACAATGAATTCAAATTGTTTTATGTTTTATAAATCAATTAGTTTTACGTTCAATCCAATTTTTAGATTTAAATAAGATACATTTTTTTTTAATTTCTAATAAATATTTGTCTATTTTTGGATCAAGACACACTACTATGAGAATTGTCTTTTCTGTACAGCTGAAGACATACCGATTTCGAAAGGCACGGAATACACATAGCTCTCGTCGTACACCGAATTGTACTCGACCGCTCGCCTGTACCACACTTCTTCGATGGAGTGTACGTTTTCTTGGATGAACTTTGGCTGTGGCGATTTCGGTTTCTGCTCGTAGCCCATCCACCTTGTGAGTCCGCTATGAGTGGCCACGAAAGCCAGCGTGACGCCGAATCTTTTTTCGAATTCGTTTCTAATAATCATAAAAAAAAAAAATTATATATAAGTTTGTATTTTTGACAAAACGGACGGACCGTAATCGGCGTGTACATTACCTTGGCAAAAGACTCATCAAGACGGCCGCCGGACTTTAAAAAAAAGAAACCAAAACAAAGTGTGTGCACCGTGCGTTATTTATGTGTGTGAGCAAAGACAACAAAAGTAGTGTGATTGTATATTATAGAGTGTGTGAAAAAATTACATTATTATGACAATAAGTAATTGAAGCGTGATATCGTGTTATTGTGCTAAAAGCCGAAAAATTCAATAACATACATTCAGAGTTGGGCAAAGTTTCATTAAACAACGATTAACAACAAATCGAATACGTAACTTATGAATTGAAAAGAAAAGATAACATTTCATTCAAATAGTTTCAATTAATATTTTTCGAATAAAAAGTTTCAAGTACAAAGTTATGCGGATAAAATAGTTAATGTGTAATTAAAGAATCACATATTTCTTTTAAGTGATTTTAATATGAATAATTTAAAACGTTAAAATTAAAAAATTATTAATAATATTGGAATAAATCATAAGTAAAATGATTCGAAAAATCATATAATTAGTTTATTCGACAAATGGTTATTCGAATAATCTATTTTTTACAATCGAATAATGTCCAACTCTGCGTACATATTCCCAAATGTGATTCGGTTTGACATGGACACTATGTCTAATAATAATATGGGTAATGGGATATAAGGTAAATTATTAGTTAATAGGTCTTAATTTCTCTGACGTCATAATAAAGCGGCTATATTACCTATTTTTTAACATTTACAATTTATTCACATTTATTACTTTTAGTGTATATTAAAGTATAAACTATAACCGGCCTACTAGTGGCAAGGTAGGCAGGAAATGCTTGTTTGACATGCTTTCATCTTGTATTCTAGATGTTGCCACTTTTAACAAATTTAGGAATTACTTGTGACCTATTGTTACGACGTAAGAGATGGATTAGACTCATTGGAGCGGAGCGTTTGTGCTATAAAGATCTTTAAAGTGCGATTAATTCCATTTAAAGTGTAAAAGTCAAACGTGCTTCAATTTTCGTAATTATGGTATTGGTGTAATGGTGTTTAACCGTACTGGTGCAGAAAAATGGGTTTATATTTTAATTAAAAAATCGTACATTTTTTATTTTTGTGGAAAGAACATATTAGGTACCTATAGATCATAAATATGTCTTGTGGCATTATCCAATTGATTGTCTCTTAGCAGCCGATTCGCTTATTAATATTCTCTTATCAGTTATCGAGGAATTATCGTTTTCTCCTTATCACCATCCCAACCCTTTCCCTTCAATGTGTTTCAGTATCCCGTAGAATGAAGACAGCCTCATGAAATTATTGATGAAGCTAATTTTGGAATGACCCCCGCCATAAGACATATTTATGTCAAAATACTTTTTAATAAATCAAGTGCAATAAACTGTAAAATGTAGTTATTATTTAAATTGTGCAAAGTGAATAATTAAAAAATATTAACAAGCTGTAGTTGAAAAAAAAATGTGAATTTATCTTACTTTTTCTTTTTCTCTGTATCATTTTTGGACTCTGTAAATATGCCTTTAGTCATGTCAGCGTCGTATATCAAACTTAACATAAGATCTTTGTTGCCTGAAAAACGATATTAATATATTGTACATTATGAACGAAAATATTTATCAATTAAGTAAAAGCCACATGCTTTTAGCCAGTCAAATCACGAAGCCAGTAAAATCACAATAGTCGGTCATTATTATCAACTGCCGAGTGCATAACAATCAATGTATGCAGTTTGTAAGTCTAAACACTTATCACAATACCGATCCATATTAATTAAATCAAATAAACAGTTACACGTCAAAAGCAAAACACAACGATATCTGCGGAATTCAAAGGAAAATAAATCAATGGGTAAAATAATAGATATTAAAATCAGAACTAAATACTTATTTATAATGGCAATTTCTCATAACATTTTTTGAATTGCCGTGTTAAATCCATGCAAAGCAAGACCAATAACATGATTATTGTTTACCCAAATAATATACACTATATGGTACCCATTTTAATGTACACAATAATAAATAATATTATAGTCGTCTTAGAAGTTAGCAAAACAAAATTTAAAACTATATACTCAATTGATTTTCTTATGATAATTAACACGAACGAAAATTCAGGAATATATTTCACATATTTTTTTATAATTAAAAAAAAAAAACATTTCTGTTCAAGATTGAGCTTAATAAAAAAAAACATGACTTCTATACTTCATAGCTGTTGGATTAAAAACAGTCAAGCTAAAACTTGAAATTAAACGGAATAAAATTGAAAAAACATAAAACAAATAATGATTAAAAACGACTTTATATAAAACTATACACAAGTACAATCAATCATTCCATCATGCAAAGTCGACTAAACTCACAATAACATTTGCACTCGTGTTTTTCTTCGGGCTTTTTCGTCCCATTTGCTGCGAAAATAAAATAATTACTAAACCCATTTCTATGTAAATTTTTAGTGAATAAAAAAAAATTGTTGTGATATTTTTTTAAGTATTTGTGTACCTTTATTCGATGCTATATTTATTATAGTTATATAACTAACACGAGCGTTATACAATTTTTTTATTTATTTTATTAGGTACATTTTCAAGGAGAGCTAATACTAACTTATTTTATTTTAAATTGTACCGGTAGTAGAAAGTGAACATAACAGTATTGAATGAATAATACTTCAAATAGCGTTAAAATGACAAATAGAATTATGCCAGAATTGTATTAAATTAATACTGTCATAAAGAACAAATCTACGGCGTTACTGTCACTAGTTAAAGTACAACATTTCGTAATTTCCTTATAGTTAATATAGGTATTAATAAGGAAATTAGTGTTTCTCGGGTTTTAAACGAATTGTATAGAAACGGGTTTTAATTGTAAATGCCATCAATTCATCAATTATCTATGCTTACAGTAGTAGGATTCGCTATAGAACCTTGGCGGCGGCCATTTGTTCCAAATATTGCTTCTCGCACTAATGCGCGATAGAAAATGTCTGAGCTCCTCTTCCTTGCTGAGCTTATTATCTCGGTCGTACTCGTACCGGCAGTAAAGCCTGAAAATCAATTTTTCAAAAATTAAAAAATTGTTCAAGCACGTACATTTGCCTTAATCGAGTGCAGAGTTTTTTCTAAACTCATAATTCGCATGACATTTATTTCATGCTCAACATTTTGCTTACTAAAATTTGATCGACACAGAACACTATTCAAGCAAAACTATAATGTAATTTAAAAACTTAGCATGTACCAGTCTGGATGAATCCTCCAATCGTCGTCCTTGAAATAATCTGCAAGCGACAATCCTAAAATTGTGTATAAAAAAAAATTGTATATTATATAAATACATAAAAGCCGTATAATTTTTGTTATAGCTGATTTTGTTACATACTTGTGGCATTTAAGTTTTGATATCTTTCAGGTATTTTGACTCTGTGACCAAAATGTTTCTCTTGTAAAGCCACAACAACCGTAAACGGCGTACCTTCTACAACCGAGTAATAATAATGTCTGCTCGCGGTCGTAGCTCTTCTCTACATATACCAAAAAAAAAAAAAATTTTTTAAATATAATCGGTGGTATCATTTAAAGTTCTAACCACATTCGATAGTAATATTAATATAAATATTTTTTAGTGCAATGTTATTTTCATGTTACTCTCCTGTACATTTGTTACAAACAGCAATATTATCTAGATAAAGCGAAAAATAAAACATAACGTTTTATATTTTAATTATTTATTATTTGTTTGAATTTCGAAATAATAATAATAGATACAAGTTTTCAAACAACTAAGGAAAAAAGTATTTAAAATAAACAATAAAATTTAAAATAATTGTGACCGTCCGTGGGAAAAAGGACCTTAAATGGTTAATTTTCATAATCGGGGCTTTTGCATTTTGTTATAGTCGATAAGCTGCTGATTACAATGATGTCTCGATCATAATGATACCTCGATCAGTTCAAAAGTTATGACGTTTTTAAGTTGGAACTCCTAATAAGTTAATTCGTTAGTAAAAAGTTAGTTTTCCGATGGACGGCCACAATTAAAGATCTATTTATTTATAATTAATGTATAAAAAATACAATAAAGAATAAACTTGATATTTACTAAGACAAGTAACAACCGATTATTTTATTATAAAAAATGTTTTTTTTAAGTATAAGTTGTACACTCACAATATTGTCGTAGTGGTATTTTACTGAAAGTTCTTGGTCGCCGGTCGTTTGGTTGATGATGTAATCACGGAGCTGCGGAAAACACAAACGCAAACTAATTAATTATTTATTTTGGAAGTGTGACAATTATAGTGCGATTCATTATGGCCGTCCAAACAATTAGTTTCCTTTACGTTAAAATACTATAATTCATTGGTCATGCTCGTGATGGTCTGTTAAAGGTCATTGGGATCGTCAGAAAAATACTTCCATTCTCCGAAAACAATATAAATCGGAGCCCCTCAGTATCGAGCATCAATAGTGCACCAACCGTTTGTGTTTTTTAAGTATAATAAATTATAGCAGTATAAATACTTAGTTATTTTAGTGATTAATACGAATTTTGTTAGAAGAAAAATGATTGGTAAATTTGTAAGTACATTTTTAATTGTATAGTAATTATAACTTAAATGTTATATTCCATTTTGTTATTTAAAAGATATATTTTTCAAAGGAATTATTAAATTATTTAAAATAATATTACACCATTTACAATGCTGGATGATAATTATTGTTTACTATAGGTTTATTCTAAAGGTTGTTATAACTGCGATAGACTGTATAAAAACAAAAGTCTTGCACAGTAGGGCTTGGCCATAGTGGGAACGGAGTATAGTAAGGTTGGTATAGCCACAGAACTATAGGAATTATTATAACTGCGATTGATGAAATAATCAATAGAAAATTTAGTAAAAAAAAAAAAGTACATCATTGCACCTTCTCAGCTACGCATCGAAACTAAAAACTTATTGTAATATTGTAAATATATAAGTATATTATACAGAATTAAGAAAACTTCTGTGGTTTTTTTTGTAGTTACAACTATATATTTAAAATCAGTCATTCAATTTTTACTAAAATCAATTGACTTAATAAACAATGTAAAATTTAAATTTCACGGAATTCACGGAAAAATCAATACTAAACACCCCACAATAATCTACAAATTATTACTTGTATATTAAAGTTCAATCTTAATATTAGAGTGAATTTCGCTAAAGTATTTTAACCAGATTAAGAATTAACAATTGACATAAAAAAAAAGTTTAGACTTCCTCAAAGTTTTATGTTTACATTTTTAATGGATTTGCCGTAGTTCTAACTTAACCTACGCATTTTTGACTCCACTGTTTCGATTGGTCAGACCATTTTTAAACATTATTTTTGTAGCTAATCCGTTGGGCCGTTGTCGCCGCCTGCAGTATGTCTTTATTGAACAGCCACCGAGGAGCTGTCGAAGCTGCAAGTACCGCCAAAAAGTCAAGTGACGCCGAGACAATTGTCGTGGACGCCATAATCGTCCCTCAAAATCAAACTTCGGAACAAAAACAAAACAGCGATGCTTCTAAGCAGCAAGTAGGTAAAAACGAAAAACACGGTCACTCAACAGAAACCAACTGGAAACCGCAAGTACGACAAGTGGGCATGACAGCGTCGGCGATAGTTTCTTCTGCGGAAGATATGAAAGCTGAACAATCCTTTGCTCACCCAGGCTCGATGTACACTTATCCATTCCCAATGTTGAACACTTATTACCCCAGATACTACCCATACGGATACGGTGCTTACCCAGGTCACGCATTCGGCAGTTACGGAATCGGCGGTTACGGAATCGGCGGTTACGGAATCGGCGGTTACGGATTCGGCGGTCACGGATTTGGCGGTTACTATGGTAACTTCTTTGGTTAATATAGTCATATAACTATGTTTAAGTACTTAATGATAAAAGGATACAATTAAGTTACGACAACGACAAAAGGCAAATATTAAATACCATTTATACCTCATACACCTCATACTTCGTTTTTATTCTTTATATCACCACATTAAGTCACAAGCAATACAAAATTATTGGTTCATTGAACGTTTACACCTATAACGTTATACATGTAATTTTAACGAACAAATAACACTATTTTGAACTTAACCTTAAAAAAGTACTAAAAGTACTAAAAAAGTACGTCTTGTTCTTTGAATTTTTACCTACAGATCGTTTTGTATTTATTTGTTCATAAAACTTATTAATTTACCTATTGTGCTAAAATATTTTTTATACGGCTTACTATATTTTTGGGGGACTATTTGTATTTAAGTTAAAACATTTTTTATATTTGTTTGTATAGTTCGTAGCACATCTTTGATCGCGTAAGTTACACATAATCTTAGGCGGCAAAGAAAGTGTGTGCAAACGGGCTAACCTATCAGATTTAATGCTTACTATTTAGTAATGTTTTATATGTTACTATTGCTAAAATAACAAATAAGGTTTAAAAAATGTTTGATATGAAATTAACTGTACTCATGGTCGGACATTATTAGATTGAAAAATAATTTATTTGAACAATCCCTTAAGGGAAAAAAAGCGCCAAATTTTAAGAAAAAACGACTAAAAGTTCAATCAAACTTTCGCTATAACTCAGAGAAAAACAACTATTAAGGTTTTATAACTAGAAAAACTTAATATTTTTTTTTACATTACAATAAGTCGGAATTCTTAAAATGGTTACTAGATAAATTCAAATATTGCCTATCGTTTGCCAATTAATAAATAGCGCTCTCCGTTCCCCTTAATAGTATTATTCAAATAAAAATGTATCCACAGAATATGTCCATAACCTACGAATTAACTTAAAATTCAACTATAAAAAAAATTGTTATTCGAATAACATATCGAATGGACATTTGACCGAATAAATGTTTATTTGGTGGTTGTTAAATAATGGAATAAAATATTATGTTTTTATTTCAATTAATACGTTAACTTGATATTGATAATTGATGTATTTTATAATACATTTAATTGGTTTTGGTACACAAATACATATTGGTATAATAATATTTAAACAATAAGTACTCACTGTCAGTAAATCTTGGTGAAATGTTCTTGGCTCCAAGTCGGATTCGACCAGTTCTACTTCGGTCATGTCTATACTATTGTAATTTGGTTTCAAAATGCTCCCAAACTGACAAACAAGAAAAATAAATTTATAAATACATAGATTGTGAATAATTTCCATAATTTACGTAAAAAAAAGAAACATTTCATGTACATAATAAACGGTGTAAACAATAATCATAATCTTTTTTAAATGTTTTTGTCGACAAAAGCTTTAGGACAGGTTAATACCCGTGTAATGACTACAGTGAGTATAGTTTGTCGTCGAAGCTGGATAACGGATTTAATACACGGTTCACTAGCTTAATTTGGTACTTCCGGTATTGTGTAGCAGCTTTATTAGACCACAATCTACACATCAAATAGTGTACAACTCTATACTACGAAGCGAGGTCCCATTCGCTAGTAGTATAAACATATTTTTATTACTTCGAATATTATTGTTAGCATAACACTATTATAATGATACAATATTATGTCACAAACGTTAGAAGCATTATGATAGGTAAGTATAACGAAATTATGCGAAAAACAGCCAACATCTGTTTATAATATAGCTATCTCTTGATTAAGCTCATCGTGTATAGTTCTTATTGTAATACTATTGGGATAGAACTTACCACTGGCCTGAGGTCTGGATGAGTGACTATGAAACCGTTGTTAGTAACGATAAACGCGTAGTTGTTGACACCAAGCTAAAGAAAATAAACAAATATTAATTGTTAATATTCAATAGTGTTAAATAATCTTAATAAATTATAGTATTATGGTACTTACTATATGCGGCGTCGTTGCTTCTCTCAAGTCCGGCTCCGGGACGTCGGTTCCCACGACACCAAGTAGATGGGCAACTTTGGTCTGTAATAGTTACATACGTTTAATTTTTTTTTTTCAATATATCAATGTTACACCAACACTTGTTTTGAAGAATAAAATATTTAATTTTCAAAAGACAAAAAAATTGACTATTTCACAAAGAAACAATACAACATATACCTACACACCATTTACTTATTATAAATATATGTTTAAACAATTAATACATTAATACAACTAATTTAGTAAAATATCACTACTCTATTTGGATTTAATATAAAATTGTACATTAACGTTTAGTCCAGTGTTGGGCAAATTGTAATCAGTAATGTAACGAATAATGATATAATTACAAAATTAACTTGATAGCTTTCGGATATATCTATGTTTGTTCACGTTCTGACGTTTCGAACCCATTGCAGTGCTCATCTTCAGAACGATAGTAACCGTACCTCTGTCGCTACTGAGCGCTAGTTTTCGACCGGTATTCATGTGTCCGTAGTTGCAACTGTTTTCTCGACCAAGCGGTGTTGTAATGTGTTATGTGATTTTCTTTGCTTACTTTTTTCCTCTGTTAATGGCTATAGTGATCTTTGAAATAATAAATAGTATAGAAATGAAAGATCAAAATGCCAAAAAATGGCAAAAAACACAACAGCCATAAACAGCAAAAATGAATAAACGAAGAAAACTAAATGATATCACTGCGATATCACTTGGTGGAGAAAACACAATTGCAACTACGGACATTCTAATACTGATAGAAACCCAGCGAAGGGATCAGTATAGTCGTGATAGAGGAATGGTGATTATCGCTCTGAAGACGGATTTTGCACATGAACAAAAACATGGATACATCCGAAAATTATTATTAAGTTAATATTTTAACATATTCTCATAATTACAATAGTAATTTAATCGTAATCATGGTTACATTTATAATTATTCAAGTTTGTTATAATTTTTTTTGTCATCGATTATGTAATTTATTCACAAAGCAATCCATTACGCCCAACAAGGATAGTTACTATGTATGTCTATTGAAAATAAGTAGGTACAAATAACACTTTAGATTCGCTACGCGCTAATTTTAGACTAAAATAAAAAAGTCTTTTGACACCGATATATTTGGTATCGTAATAATAATAATAATAATAATAAGTACCTATGCTAAATAATAATACAGCCAATCGACCGTCAATTATTAATTATTTATCACTATAAGTAGCGCTATATTATATATCTAGCTAATTGATTCTCTAACTAGGGTACCACCTATATAAACATACACCGTTAAACGAATCATATACTCGTAAATCGCCATCGCAGTATAACAATTCAATCATCTAAGGATATTAATATGTAATATATATGTCATTATTATTAATATATTACTAATTAACTAGGAGTCTAGGTGTGTAAAACTAAAAAAGTAAATAATTACGTTTAGGTAAATTAATAATATAATATCTAATACAACGGATATACCCCTTGCCTATGACGCGGAAACTATTTAATATAATATATTGCTAAGGTTGTAAAAAAAAAATGATTACAGATTACCTAGACAAATGTTAAATACCTCTCGTGTTTCCCAAACCCAGATGTTATCATTTACTAGCCTTCTTACAGTGATATTCTGTTGGGAAATAATGATTAAACAATTTTTAATATTACAGTTTAAACATGTTGTATTTTTTAGTATGAACAAATAATACAATAAGTACCTATAAAGCGAAAATATTCACGGGTTAGTTAAATATACAAAATATATTTATAGTCCTGACGATGGTTACATTTTAAGCATATATAATATACATCCAAATTAAACCGTTTAGTCATATTTATTAAGTCGAGACATAACAAGCAATATTGCCTTGTGATTGAACTTTTATGTGTTTAGTAAATTATGTTTACTGTTTAGCACATGCCATTGATTTTTTAATTTTAATTGAAAGTTGTCAGCAATACAACGTAACAGGTTATTGGTATTTTTATATAACAATAATAACGAATAGCAGTGTATGTCGGATAATTATTTTTTAATTTGAAGTAATGACTTGACTTGATGCTTGAAATAATAAACTTTAAATATCCAAGAAAAAAATGCATTCTTGTTTACAGTTTATTCGTATTTCGTACAGTCTACAGAAATTTGATATTTTCAGAATACGATTTTGTTATTTATAAATAAGATTTATTTATTAAATAAATAGTGCTTAAATATCTATTATGTTTTTTTTATTCATACAGATACTCTTATAAAGCTCTATTAGTGCATTGTGTAAAATTGACTTATATAAGGGTCTGTACTTGGTACACAATCCATAATATTAGTATTAGATCTTAAGTTTGAAAAAAAAAAGAACTATTAGTAGACAAAACCAAGAAGGTCACGTGAATTTTTGAAATGTAAACTTACGGTTTTCGTTATTTTGTCGTAAGCCGGTATCGCAAGTGATGTAATCAAATTATGACTCTTTTGCCTGTTTATGTTCATGTTTTGATTTTGCTCCTGAATAGATAAATTTGATAAATAACATTTTTTAAAAACACTTTAAAATCAATTAAAAATCTACTTTTTTCAATCGAACACGCTCCCGTTTTTCTCGGTTTGATGGATAGAAGAATTTATCTTTCGTCCTCTTGTAACTTAAAGTGTCATCTCTCTGTTGATGACATTCTTCTCGCTCCCACAGGTAGTCCGTCATCTTTGGATCCTAAAAACAAAAATGTATGGCTGTATGCAAATTTGTATGGTACTTTGTCGTTGTATTACCGTCACGTCGGCGTACAGTGGCGTCCAAATGATCGGATGATAGTTCTGTAACAGTACCAGAGGTCTGGCCATAACAGGCAGATAGTGCACCACTTGTTCTCGCACTTCTTCTACCGTACTTAAATGGACGAAATATCCTATAATATACATTAAAGGAAATTTAAACGCAACATAGTCATTCATAGTTATCTAATTAACAAATTATGGAAAAACCATTACGTTAAATCAAATTATATTTTCAGAATGTCGTATTAAATTCTATCTTTACAAACACAAGATACGACAACATTTAAATCTGTCTTCAGTTTTTTCAATACTCAAAATATAGACAAACAATAATGGCCATGAATTTTCCTACAATATTTAAAAAATATATTAAAAGACTATTTTTGGTCATCATTGTTTGCCTATTACAAAAACTGGTAATAGAAATACTTGCATTCCTTTTTTGAGCCATAAAAACATAATATTTTATAATAATTTTCATTTATTTTTACCATGATTCGCACACGCCATCCATTTCACATCTCTGATTTCGGGAACCTCGCGACCAATCAGGTACGTGAACACCCTAACCGGCATTCCCTTTGTACCTTCTCGCCAATTGAACGACTTGAACAGCGAATAAAAATTTTCTGGTACGCCGTCGGTGACCAGCATTATTGCTTGATTACACATAGCGCCCATGTTTCTTTCGCGATACTGGAACACAAAAATTTGTAAGTAAAAATAATTAAAAAATACTCCCAGGAGCAATTCCAATATTAAGCTTTGAATAGTGAAATTTAATAGTTTCATAACTCAGAGATTGAATTTTGAAGAGCAGAAAGTTATCCAATTTAAGAACCTGTTCTTGTTTCAATTAAAAAAAACTATCACATATGCTTTTTTAAATTTTTAAACACCTATATTTTGGAAACATTAAAGACATCAATGATCTTATTACATCATTTGTTAGTAGTTGATACTTGCATCAAGCATAAAGAATATTTTGATATTTTATTTCACTATCACACACATTATAATTAGTCATCGATACAATATTAGAAAATAGTAAATTTAACATATGTTAAAAATATTAGAAACTATTTTTTTGTTTATAATTAATGCGACAAATTGTTTAAATGATACATTTAAAAAAAATAAAAGTATCATATTGAATTCAAAATCAAGTGCTAATGTGTCGTACTCGGATTAACTTATTTTATTGTATAGCTATTATACAAAATATAAGGAGATCAAGTTCAGATTCAATTGTTTTTATCAAGATTGTTTAGAGCTATAAAACCTTTTTCGATGTGAAACTGTAAGGTATTTTTTTTTCCTTTAGATAGGTGCATACTTTTTCTAGTGTTTGAAATGCTACTGTCAGCGCTATACTGAAATCCGATATGTTGTTTGGTTCAGCAATATTCTCGACACCCGTTTTAAGTTCCCTTATATTTGCGAGGGTCGCCTGTAAAACAAAAACGTTATTATTAATATTCATCAATAATTAACAATAAAGTAATATGGAATTATAGGGTATCATATGGTATAATTACAATAGTAATGTAATTATGGTTTATGATTACAAATTACTGTAACGATTACTCTTACTGTTGTTGTTTTAAAATACCTGACTATTAAATAAAGTATTAAGCGTTTTAACTTATTTACAACTCGATGATTAATTATTAACCGTTAACGGTTATAAATGTAATCATGAAGTTATTGATAAGTTTTATAAAGGAAATTAAATTATTATTACTTAAATTTTTGTAATCAATTATGTGATTTAATAATAAAGTAATAAAATAATCAACAACTCTCAACAGTCGTATATGTAAGGGATTAATTATTTAAATGATATTAATAGGAACTAAAAACTTAAGTAGTTACTATACCACGTCATAGTATTGAGTGCGTTCATTTTAGCTGCATTGCTAGCACTATAATTTCTACATGATTTAACTACTAAGACATACTTTAATGGTACTTTTGTAAAACGACTTACTTGCACAAGCATGTCTTTATAACAAGGAACTACTTCTTCGGTGACATTACTGAACACGAGCACGTTAACGTAGTCGTTAACGGATAACGTATCAAGTAGTGTATTGATGACGTGTCTGGCGATTATTTTACTTTGACCCATCATAGATCCAGAGTTGTCAACCAGGATGAGTATGTCTTTGGGACAAGCTGCCGCTTCTACGTACCAAGGTCTCATTCGACAGTCGTACAAGTCCACAGGAGTTTGATTCCATTTCATAGCTGCAACAGAAAAAAACAATTTTGTTTAATAATATTTCCAAATAAAATAACTCGAGTAAATCATTATTTACCAAATAACTAATAAATAATTTTATTTTTTCAATCCAATAATATTTTACCTAACTTTGTCTATTAGTGTATTACAAATTACCAACGTACCTGGATACTGTCGCATGAATCCTGTTGTGCTGCCAAAATATTGCCATGACATCCTTGGATCATTTCTGTAGTTGAAATCGAATATGTCGTCCAAATTTTCTGACCATTTTATTGCTTTTATTACTTCTGATGCTATTTTTTAAAAATATACGTTAAGTGGTTATGGATAAAAATCAATTTAAAATAAAACGCTAAGTGAAACAGACGAACTTACCCCTGTCATAAACATAAGTTGGCACGTGTACAGAGCTGTAAGACAAATTCACAGAGTTGTCGTAAAAATGAGAACTTTGTTTCAGTTCCAAAGGTATAGACGAATTAGGCGCTTCGGGGTCGGGCTTAGCACTTCGGTATTTATACTCTTCACCAGGAGCTGGTTGGTTGTGAGCCGTATATGCAGCTCCTTCGACCGCTTCCAGTATTCTCTGTACATGTTATTGTCATTTAACACAAAACGTATTAAATTATTATATATATTTTTTTTTAAATTGAAATTTTGCATAAACACAATTTCACTTTACAATTATATGAAAATTTAAAACAAACAAAAATTGGTTGCAACATAAAAGTACAGTAATACAATAATACTTAAAAAATAAACATACCTAGGAACAATAAGGGAACTATAATATAGCCAAACAAAATAAGTAGAAATGTGTAGCAATTTTAATTAAAAAGCCAGCCTTAGTGATGAATGACACAACGAGTAGGATAGGAGGTTCGGATTTAGAATTAAGGATACAACAAAGAGTTAAAGAAATATTTAAGGATCTTAGAGAATTTGTTAAATTATCACGTTTAGAGGACAAGGAGGAACAGTCAAAAAGGATATGAGGAAGATCGCAAGTACTTTTCTCCGTGTGAAGTGTACATAAAGGGTAGTTGTTTAGATCCAGTTTATATGTGCGAGGTGGTAATAGGGAATGACCGTAAACGATAAATGCGTAAACGATTAAAACGTACGATCACAGACCCGGGTAAGTAAAAATGTTTTAACCAAATTTTATTTGGGATATTGGAGACAATAAATTTAAATAAGTATGCAGGTAAACTACTCCGATAGGCGGACCAAAGATCGCAAATATGACATCGTAGAATTAAAGTAAAATCAGACGAAGGAATAAAGGTAATAAAAGGAGATATTAAATTTGAAGAAAATTTGGCCAGCCTCATTACCGTGAATCCCAGCATGCCCAGGAACCCAAAGAAATTATATTTTCTTTATTTACCTTTCACTGTTTAGTTTACCAAATTAAAAAAAATATCTTTTCATAAGTAACTTAAAGAGTTTTTATCGTATTTTTTATATCCTTTTACAATTATTTTTTTCATAAGCTGATTCAACCATCATGTTTACTCCAAAACTTTTTTTAAACTCAAACTCCAAGTACTGTTTTATATTTACTCATTTTGAATCATATATTTCCGATTCCTTCCTCCATTAGTCTTAATTTAACTTTTAGCATTTCTTCTCTCAACTACTAAACTACACCAATATCAAATATGTACTGTGTAGTATGTAAGTTTATTCGTTACTAAGAATAACAAGTATAAGCGTATAACACTGAGCAAATATAGGTATAGAATTGAATTAAAACAATTATTTAGAATAAGATCATACACTAAAATTATAATAATTGTCCTTAATTAAATGTCCACTTTATTTAGTGTGTATACTAAATAAATATTATTTATGATACTTGTGGCTTTTTACTTCTAAAATAATTATAATTAAAAACAAAACGCGAAAAAATGTTAATACACACCTTCAGTGCTTGTTGTTTTTTATCCATCATTGATTTGATTACACTAGAAATATTTGCTGCTAATATCTGCCCATTTTTTATTTCTGTTCTTGCTTCCTTATTGTATTTCTAACAATAAGATAAAAATTATTAAACGAGTCATTTACATATAATACAAAATTATAAGTTTAATAATTTGACACAAATAATGCAAACACAACAGGATTCCCACGTATAATCTTAATTACTAAAATTTAAAAAAAAAAACTAAAATATACAGCCCTGATGTATTGAAGTTGAATCACTGCTTGGTTAGTTTAGTTAAATATGCGGTGATCCAACTATTAAAACATCCCAGTTTGGTCATACCCTTTATATATTCACCAACTAAAAAAAAAACCCTTTGTTTTGAAGTTTTATAATGGGCAATAGTAAATTATATAATGAAAGTTAAAAATACAAATCGGGGTTTTTTTAATTGATTGAAAGTTTAGTTTTGAACTTTTAACAAAATTGCCTATATTAATTATAAGTAACAATGGTTTATTGAGAAATATTTTAATAATTGTTTAAAAGTATAATATGATGTAGACATTGAAGATAAAAAATTGCTAAAGATGGGTTTCAATAGGTAGTTTAGAAACAACGATTTAAAAAAATCACTAGTAAAATTATTTCAGATAATTTATTTCAATGTAGTCTAGATAATTTCCCCACCATTCATAAATAATTAATTATATTATCTCGATTCCTACATCCATAGCTTCAAGAAGTCATTATTTTTTTACCCTTTGTCGACTGAAAAAACAATTAAGAAGAAAACAGTTCCACCATGCAATGGATAAAAAAAAAGAGTGAATGGTCTGCTTGACGAATATTCATCGGAACAATACAGTGACAGTAGAATAAACTAGTGACGAAACAAAGTGATTTTAACATTTTAACTATACTGTAATTTATATGTTGCATTTTGAGAATATTAATGTACGGAGGGGAACTTTGAAACATCCTCGTAAAATTAATCCTACTGAATAACTGAATAACAATATATAATAAGTTTCAGCGCATATACTAGGTAGGTAACATGTAGGTTTTACTATGTGTAAATTGTTATTATAAAATTTATGGTCAAATTTATGTCACAAGAATAAATAAAATTAATTAATTAATGTAAAATATGTATTTTTTTAAATATTATAAATGTTATTTTAGAGGAAATGTAATTATGTTAAGTATATATATATATATATATATATGGCACGGTTGACTATTAAAAATATTACACAATTACAATACTGTAGTTTTAGCGAAATTGATTATTTTATGATTAATTTACATTAAAAAAATGAAATAATAATGCTTTAGTATTTTTTTTTAAATTAATCAGTCACCATATGATTTTATAAGTAACTATTAATCATCGAGCTGTGAATAAGTTACACTGCTTACTACTTGAAATAAAACTAATTATTTAAAAATAGATCGATATTTCAAAACAATAGTAGTATAAGAGTAATCGTTAGTTAAAAATGAAATTATTTGTAATCATAAATGTAAACATGATTATGATTTAAATTATTACTGTAATCATACCATATTACTTTGTTAATTTATGATTACATTAGTCAAACATTATAATTTCTGATTCAAATTATTACTCTTAATCATTGATCATTTCACAATTTACCCAAAATTGTTACACTGACACTATAAATACATTGTAGATATTAATTAAATAATTAATTATTAACTATGTAAATTTTACATATTTGCTTTGCTGTGGATCTGGGGAGGTACTAAGATGTATTTTTTAATTTTTTTTTATGCCTTGATCCTCGACAACTTTTTAACCATCAGACCGATCGTTATCTTTATGTAACAAGTTAACCTGTAGATAAGAAATCGCACCAAAATGTACTATATGAAAAAGTAAGGAAATATCAAAAAGCCTTTTGCTCATTAAGATGTGGAAACTGTAATTGTTCCATATTAATCTTTGAAATCTAGTTTTAAGAATTAGGGTCTGAAAATCAGACAGCAAGTAACTCTATATCTCTTTTTTTTTCCAAAATCTTTTTTAAAAACTCTTTTTTTGTGTACTATTAAGTATACACTATGTACTATAATTTAAGCTCTAAATTAAGATTTTGTGAAAATTCACTTTTACTTCTTAATAAATTGGTGGCTTAAATTTCAACTAAAAATGTACCTACTTCAACATACCAATGCATCAAGCAAGTATTGAAAAATCTAAATCAGTTTTCTTAATTACTGTGGGACTACACGTTGGCAGTACGGTTAAATTTAGAATTAATAATTGTTTTTGTCCCAAAACATGCCGGTGTAAAGGCGTCTGAAGTTTCACGTTATCAGACTTGGCGTGTCAATGTGCGCGCATACTTACGGCTTGCAATGATTTTCTATTGGTAATATACTCTCCGCAGTTCCAAAGTTCGAAGTACAGTTTTTCGGCCCAGGTCTGCAACCTGAATATAATATAGAAGATAATTTAGTTGTTAACGCCAAGCGATAATTATTGTTTGTCGTGCTGATAAGAGAAAATTATACAACGGTAATGTCGATTCGGTTGTGCGGTTACTATTATGTGTACGGCTTGGGCACGAATGACAATAACGTTTAGGTACCAATGTATTGTAATACTTACAGGGCGGTTTTGACCGGTTCGTGTTCGTGAGAAACGCACTCGGGAATCGTACAAGCGTACAGGGACAACGCGGCCAGCACGGCAAACTTGGCGCTCATGTCGACGATTGAAACTAATATCGAAGTTAGAGGACTAAACGATAGAATAAAATTGAAAAAAGATAGAGTGCGGGGTGGAGTACGTACGCTGCTGTGGCAAATGGCACATAGCGAGTAGTAACGTCGACGAGTACAAAAAAAAAAAAGATAATAATATGGGTTTGTGATGGTTGAAGTCGGTCGTACACGCGCGTAGGGAGAGGACCGATCGATACGAGGTCCCTGCGGTGACTGTCGGCTAAAGCGGCGGCGGCCGGGCGCATGGGTATAAAGCTCCCTGGTGCCGGCAGTGGTCGTCGAGCGCTAAAATATTGTCATGACTGACGGATCACATGGTCATCGGTATGTCCGTGGCGAGTGGTCGTAAGTCTCGTCACCCATATCATAGTAATAATATATTATGTATCGTGTCTCAAGAGGATGCCAAACGGTGGACCGGAATTGTACAGTCGACGACACGTCAAGTCAAGACTAGAAAATTATAATGTAAAATAATAGGTATTTAGACTCTGTCGTTAGTGCTGAAGATGACCACATTGTTGTCAAAATCAGGGTTCCGTTAACCGTTATTTATTTGTTCAGTTCATAATTATGTTCATGAACGTAAACTAGAAATAACGTTATAGTTTTTTTACCTCGAGAACGTTATAACGAAAAACGTTGTAATTTGTTTTACCGCGGAAATGTTAAAACGAAATTTGCTAAGTTAGGTTAGTTTAGCAAAAATAGTGATAAAGAATAGTGTACTAAAAATGTTGACTGGTCGATAACCAGTTTTGGATCATTATTTTTGCTTACCTAACCTAACTTAGAAAAATTTGTTTTAACATACCCGGGGAATTACAAATTATAACGTTATTCGTTATAATGTTCTCGGACCAAAAAAATGTAAAACGTTATTCATTATAACGTTCACCAAACATATACTAATATTATGTTATGTTCTGGGAACTTTATTTTGGTGAACGAAATAATTGAGTTTATAACGTTATATTTCGTTACGTTACGGAACCCTGGCCGAAATATGTACGCATACCTACGTGTATTATTTTATGGTTAAGGGTTTTAAATATAAATCTATTCTAACTACAATTATTAACAAAATTAAAATAGTCTTAAGCCATTTATACTTGCACACAACGTACCTAATACTATGTTAAATTTACATACATTTTGTTACCTCATTCATGGTTGCTGTTATAACTTATAACCTAATCTATCATTGTAAATAGCTAACACAGTAAAAGCGGTTAAGGTTCATTTCGTATTCTAAAAAAAAAATTGCTGGTTCCACAACTATCATACCTGCAACAGTGTGCACTATAGACTCTGCCGCCATACCCACTCGACATTCTACAAAAAATAGTTTTCTCTAATATATAATATTGTCAAAGAAGAATAAACCGAAACCATATCATAAATTATAATGCATAGCTAATATTAACGTTATATTATAAAAGTATTAAAAAAAAAATAGATAATAGTAGTTATAACAGGTAACATATGAACTTTGTATTATTTTTTTGTCATTAACAGTATAAAAAAATTAAATCATATAATTAAAGAATTGTATTCTGAAAACGGGTAATAACAAAAATAAATATTTTACCAATAACAATATAATATATAAGATTATATATATATATATATATATATATATATATATATATATATATATATATATATAATAATTGAAGGTTTGACATTTGGACAGTTATATAAACAACGTTTAACAACGCCAACAACAAATTAACAAAACAATAGTTATTACTTACAATAAATTAAGTCTTTTTTTTTTATAAATTAGAGTTCCTTTACATTATTACACAAATGTTTCAAGTTGCTTTTAAGATAAATTTTTTTTTCGAAAAACTCATCAGAAAGTTATAAGATTTAGGCAAATTCGTCAATGTTTTGTTTGAATTTACGTACTGTGTTTATTTTTTTATATATATAGTGTATCCTAAAGTTATCTCAGGCCGAAACCGGTAGTTATCATAAACCTAATATTGTAATACTCTAGTCTAATAATTACCACTTTTACAAGTTAATTTTCAAAATTCTCTTACAAATAGATTATGGACACTTTGTATTTTCATGAAAGTTAAAAAAGTAGCATAACAATTTGTGCCCTACCTACCACAGAAATATTTCACACGCTTACTATTTAATTACTAATAAGTAATAAGTAATAAGTAAAATAAAATAAGTAATTACTGATAAGTATTAATTTGTTAAAATATTAAAAATTATAATTATTTTGAGTAATAAAATCAATATTTGTTTTATTTGTATTTTTCAACCTGTTTCTTAAAATAAAGTCCGTATTAAATTTATATACCTATTGTGTTTATTTGAAAACATTCTTTTAGAATAGGGGAAAAAATATTCCCAACATGCAATTTACTTCTAAATGAAATGGAAAATCAAATTTTACCAAGACAAAGATTTTTATTTTTTTCTTATTTTAATACATATAAGCATCATGAATATAAACTGTAAAGTTTTTGTTTTGTTGAAAATTTAAATTAAAAAAAAAAAATCCTTATGAACTCTTCTTACCGTTGAATTGTGATAAAAACATTTGGTTTGGGTGTCCAATTCTATAAAAAAAAACAAAATTTATCAATTTCACTCAATTCAATAATATTTAAAATGCGGCGACATTAAAAGTTAGTGGATAATTTTCTCAAAATTAGAGGTCACATTTTAAATCAAACAAACCAATAAGTCCACTGGGCATCAGAATCTCACGAGTTGTATAATTACTGTGAAATTCATTAATGATGAGCCCATGTATACATGTTCAAATTGTTTTAATTCTTAGAAAGTATTAAGTAAGAGTTTTCTATAATTTTATACATCGGCACGTGTGTTTAATTAAAAAGTGCTACCTAGTTCAAAAGTAAACAAAAATTAAAAAATAATGTTTTAAGTATTGTTTAACGAATTCATACCTTGGCCATAACACGAAAACACAATTTTTTTATTTTAGAAAAACACTTGTGTGATTTGATGTTTCCATTTCTACTGTTTACATTTCTCTACATTTTTTTTGACGTTCAAAAGACTGTAAACATTATTTAGATACCCATATTGAGCTTCCGTTATAATAATGTACACCTAACGACGACAAATACAGGGTCTTTAGAATTTCATAAATCACCTGACGATTTTCTGAAATTATGAAAAAACGACTTATGTGAATCCTATTTGGTTTATGGAATGATAAACTCAATGATATTTTAAGGTTATTGTAATATTTTCCCTTTCGGTAAAAGGATTTAGAGAGAGATGATTTTGGAATTCCTACAATAATTGTATTGCATTTTAACGAGTATTTCAAATTGTTTAGTTAGATAAATTGGTTTATTATTATTATAGAAATATCCACGTTTGAAATAATAGGTTTTGGTTAAATGTCGGTTTTGTTGATACGTCTAATAGCTTTGTTTTTATTCACTATTTAAAATTCACTTTTTTTTGTTTTTATTTACTTTAATAAAACTTATTTAACTAAAGTCTAAAAAGAACCTAAAACATAAAAATTGTTTATAAGTTACTAAAAACATTGATTACAATGTTTTATGTACATTAATTATTACTATATGTGATTTAATATTGCTCTCTGACTCTATAACAAGCATGAGCTAGAAAGTATTACAATGATGTGTTTTTATTATTATTTTTTTTTTTGTGTTAGTAGCTGACCCACGATATCTTTTAAACCACTGAACCGATTTCTTCGTGTAGCAATTCTATAGATAGAAATCTTACTTGTCAGGTTCTTTATTGAATCAAAAAAGTTGATCCCTTCCCCTTCAAAATAAAGAAAAACCCCAAAAAATTTATATATTTTTCAACTTAAAATTACAACGGCCCATAACTTTTTTAATAATAGTCTTATTAATTCTAAATTTGTATAGAATATGTTTTAAACATAAAACTATCGATAAAAATTGATAAACAAAAAATATCATAAGCCCTTTCCCTTAGTAGGGATAGAAATGTTTTCTTTATTTCACTTTTTAAAGTAAGTTTTTAGGGATTTAGTTCTGAAAATTAGACCGAAGGTAGATCTAGATTGGAACTAAAACATGTACAATTTTCTCAAAAATCTGAAGTTAAACTTTTTTACTATTAGGAAATAACCAAAGAACAAGAGAAAAATTACACTTTAATCGTAGTCCGCTTCCGAAAAAATAATCTTAGAGCGACGGCGCGGCGGTCTCGACCAAAAACATCATTAACTCCGTTATTTCCCCAAAATTATAAATTTCTAGATATTTGCTACAATTTAAGATTTTGATGCTCTTTCTAACTTTTATATTAAGCGATTAAATAAAAAAACGCACACATTTCAATAAAAAATGATAAATACTTTACAAATAATAACGTTGTCAATTTTAAGGTTTCTAAGTATGTGTTTTTTAAATATTTTCGGCGAAGTTAAAAAAAAAGCAATGGGAAAAAAATATCTAACCTTTCTGGGGGACAGAGTTTTTGATATTTTTTTTTTTAGGTTATTTAGGATATATTGATAAAAAAATGTTTAAAATTTGGGATAACAATGTCGAAAGTTTTTTTTTGTGGCAAATTTTACATTACTACTGTCGTTTACTTAGTGAACAGATGTTTGTAAGCTTTTAACGTGTGCGTGTTTTTGTTGAAAATCCAAAAGAATTGGTGTCAAATATAACCGTCAATGGTGGAATCGAAGACACTTTAAAAATGTTGGCCTGTTTGTGGTCTTTTAGTTAGTCTTTGTATACCGATTAGCATTGCCTTCAATTTCATTAAACAAGTTAAACAAAACTAAACATTTCAAAATGAAAATTCCTATTATTACTGAGGGAATTATAAAAAAACACAATGTCACTGGTCGTGTTTCCAGTCAAGATAAAAACCATCAGTTTCGCTAAAACGTTTTTTTTTAAATTAGTCCAAATTGGTACAAATTTACAAGGGATTTTCTCTATATGTAACGTAAAATATACGTAGACAAAATTAAAATTATAATAGATATATAAAAGATAGAAATGGAAACTTTTTCATTATTCATGTGTATCATAAACAACACATTTTCCCCCTATATGTTCATACTTTTTGAATTAATTGCTTAATAAAAAAAAATATATGTTTTAAATAATTCTCTTAACAAAAAAAAAGGAAGTCTGCTTGCCAACGCCGACTTAGCAAGCGTTTTAATGTTTTTTTAAATTAAAAATTACATCGCACGCAATGTGAAAAATTGGTATTTGTTTGAATACCAAATTTGGTTTTGTAAAACACTGTGTGACGTACGAATTCAATTATTATTAATAATTACCACGAACATTTAAATTCCTGCTATGATACTGTTTTAAACCAAATTTTATCGTTGCGTAGCATTATTTTGGCCAACAACTTGTAAAAACAAAATTGTTTTTCTCCGTATACATCAATAAATAACTACCATAATTTTTATTTGTAAATGTAGACGTACGTGCATCAATATTCGAAACGAATAAAAACACAATATTGACATCATTTCGTTGTTATAATAAAAATGCTTTTTAAACCGTATATTGTACAAAGAAAACTCATTAAGAGAAAAATTCAAATAAGGGGAAATCGTGATTACCAACATTGATTTAAATCTTAAATATTTCAAGTGTCCACATAAGATATACAATTTTAAAAGCTTGGGTAATATTTTATTAATTTATTTCGACCAGGCTGAACACCTACCTGTTGAAATCAAGTCAAAGTGAAAATGACTCTTTTAATGAATACTTTTTGGTTAACATTAACATATTTTTTTTAACATTTTGTTTATCTTTTTTAGGCGTATTGTTCACTATTTCACGTAAGTATTATATCAATAATCTTCCACAAAACCTTTTATTTCAATTATTTTTATACATTTAGTTTGTGGTTAGGTTAGCGTAGGTTAAAGTATTTTCTTTATTTTTGAAACGTTGCTTTTGATTGTATAACAAAAATAGGTGGTTTCAAATTAAATATTTTTTTAATAATTCTAGGCTATAGTTTATTTAAATTGAATATAATTTGCAATGCACGGATCACAGTACAATGGGTGCTAACAAAAATATAGATCATATAGGTGTGTCACATTTTTGTTAGAACCACATTGGACTAACTAGACAAAGTGGGGGTAGCGAAGAACCGTCTTACCATCTACAATAGAATCCGATTGGTTATCCTATTTAAACACAATATATTGCAAAAGGGGTGTTACTTGCAATTTAAGAAAATGCGAAAAGTGGAGGAGAGTCACAGAACTAACTACATAAAGTCAAACCGATCATAAACTGTAGTAGTGATTTTTTTAGTTTCTCACACATAACTTAATCCATAAGGTTTATCAAACAACTACAAAGTAAGTAATATTTAAAATTATTTTTCTTTGATGGTATGTTTTAGAGTGCATTTATCATTCGAAACTTAATTTTTACTGCATATAATTTAAACTAAGTTTATTTTTTTTGTATTATTTTATTGATCGATTAACTCTGAATAAATAGTTTTATAATTATTAAAATCTTAGGTCGAAGTAATTGTGGAGTGTTGTGTAATTTTTATCTGCCCGCAATACTCAACCGAACTTGCCCTATCGTCCTGATTTCAAAACTTCATTCATTTTAAAAGTAATTATTGCAGACAGGTTACCAACCAGTTAAAATGTTCTGCAATTTACCATTTAAGTTTTGGAAGTAGGTAGCGTCATATACAATCCGATCACGGATAACAAATTTTATTGTTTAACTGGAAACTAATATTGATAATTTTGCGTTGCTGAGTAAATATTATAAGTGTATAAAACAGTCAAATATTAATAAAAAAATACTTACATTTTATTAACTCATTAATGAATGGGTATTCGTTATTTGTATTTTGAGTTATAGTTATTCTTCTATTAGTCTGTAATACACAATTGATTGTTGAAGATTTATCATTTCATACCACCATTATTAGGCATTTTTGTCGATAAAAAATAATAAATATTTTTGATTTTGACATTTTTATGTCTTTGCTTTGGTACATACACGGAATAATCGACACCGGTTATCATAATGAAAAAATTAGCTGAATTATCTGATAAGATAAAAGAGATAAGAGATTAGAGATATGTTTTTACTTTGGAACACAACCGGAAAAATCGACACCGACATCGAAAATTTATCCTTATATATATCCTTCTATATCCTTATATCCTTCTTATAAGGATGGGGATGGGGTGGGGATGAGGGTGTGAATGGGAATGGGGATAGAGATGTTACATTTTTCAAATTATGTGTTCTCATAACGAACAATCTTGAATGAATGGTTAAATTAATTCAAAACAACCAAGTGAATGTTTTGCCAATAATTCGATTAAGGCCAATTATTAAAAAACTACTAAACATTTTTGGCCACAACATAAAAATAATATTCACTTACCTTTCGAGTACCGTGGTTACCATTGTTGCAAACCAAGTGTTTATTTTGGGTTAGTAACGAAAAATATTTCAAGTGGTATCAAGGCGTACAAGAACGAGACATAAAAATGTATCCCGTGGTGTTGCGGACTCGTACATAAGCTGTTAAAATATAATATGTGATACCTATGTATAAACCTTTAATAGAGCCTTGCAAACATTTATTATTTTTAACCACCATTATTAGGTGGTATATTTGTCGATGAAAAATAATAAATATTATTGATTTTTGTTTTGTTATAGGTATTTACCATGAACTCAAACATGCGTTTTTGTTGTGTAGTGTTATTTGCAATTTTTTCCTTTGGTCTCATCGTAAGTGCAACATTCTATATATAACATAACAAATATGAGTATTGTTCAAATGTATAAAAAATTATTTGTACTCGTTTGTTTTAATAGAAACATATATATTTTTACAATGTTGAAATAATAATAGTAATTTACTTATTATCCGTAATAATATAATTTAACTAAAAACGACTGCAGTGATCATTAACATCATGCAAACTATTTAGGTATACTAGACAATCACTAACTCCCAGAACCTCTATAATTTCGTACCCGATTTTCTTGGACTTATCTTCACTGAAGCTGCAAAACTATAATTCTACTGGTATTTGAGGACAATCGTCAAGAACTATAATAATACTAATAGCAGGCTTCCGTTAACCGTTATTTATTCGTTCAGTTCAAAATGATGTTCATGAACGTTAACTAGGAATAACGTTATAACTTTTTTTACCCCGAGAACGTTATACCGAATAACGTTTTAAATTTATTTGATCCGAGAAAGTTATAACAAAAAACGTTATAACTTTTTTTAACCCGAGAACGTTATACCGAAAAACGTTTTTGGTTTATTTGTTCCGAGAACGTTATAACGAAAAACGTTTTAAACTTATTTGCCCCGAGAACGTTATACCGAATTTTGCTAAGTTAGGTTAGGTTAGCAAAAATATTGATAAAGAATAATGTAGTATACATTTTGACTGGTCGATAACCAGTTTTTGATCACTATTTTTGCTAACCTAACCTAACTTAGCAAAATTCGGTATAACGTTCTCGGGGCAAATAAGTTTAAAACGTTTTTCGTTATAACGTTCTCGGAACAAATAAACCAAAAACGTTTTTCGGTATAACGTTCTCGGGTTAAAAAAAGTTATAACGTTTTTTGTTATAACGTTCTCGGACCAAATAAATTTAAAACGTTATTCCGCAAAACGTTCACCAAACATATCCTAATATTATGTTATGTTCTGTGAACTTTATTATGGTGAACGAAATAATTGAGTTTATAACGTTATATTTCGTTACGTTACGGAACCCTGACCAATAGTACTAATACTATGTATGTACGTCTTTCAGATTTCATTACATGCTGCGTCATCCTCGGATACGCCTCCCGCGAAGCGTATTAAGTCCTCCGAAGAGGAGGTGGCGGAGAACGAGGTGGTGGGGGACAATGAGCCCTTGAATGAAGAGGCTGCGAGCGAGGCCTCGGCCGATAATGATGATCCAATAGAAAATATTAAACGTGAACTTCAGCGTGACCCTTATTTAATGAGATGTTTTCAAAGAGATGAGGTTACTAATAAATGTAAGTATCTAAATCATTATTTTGGTTTTTTTTTGTATAATACACAAAAGGTAGAGTAGGTTAATTAAATTGGTCCGATTTCCATTGTGTAAATACTACTGTTTCTTTTTTCTTTTTCTTTTTTTGGGCGCGGGTTTAGGAAACTTATATTTATATAATTCTCAGTTGAATTTAGAAAAACTTGTTCGTTAAAAAATATACATTTTAAAAAAGTTGCTGTAAACATGGTTTAAAAATATGGCAGTAGATTTAGAACACATACATAGTAATTTAAATTTAGAATGATGTATTTAAAAACATTCGATCAAACTATTTTATAATCAAGAAAAACTCAAAATATTTTGCTGGTATTGAATTATGCATTCTACCATCTACAGAATAATATTAATGATTTTTTTTTTGGAATTTTATTATCTAAAACCCACAACTTATGGTTGACTGTAAATTAATTGATGAACAGGCCAAGCCTGTTTGAAATTACTGTATTAAAAATCTACGTGGATTAATGAAAATCGGGGGTTTTTCCTGATTTATTTATGTTTTATAAAATTACGAGTCTGAACTTAGCGAAATGAGTAAATAAGAACAATTATTTAATGCACATTTCATTCATACTTAAGAATACCCTAAAAACTAAAATATGGCCCTGATCCTAGCAAATTTTATTTCATGGCACAGTTTAATTATAAATTATAAGGTATTATATTTGTTTTTAAAATGTTTTTTCATATTTGTGTACAGATATCAGAGAAGAATTGCATCCATTCTATTTTGATGTCGTTGAAGAAGCACAGGAATTTATAAAAAACGGTAATGAGGCCGAAGCAAGAAAAAATGTAACGACTGCAACAAAAGCTATGGTTCTCGGATTAAAGGATGATGCGAATGTGATCGTAGACGAAGAATCCGTGGATAATTTATGGGGAAATTATGATCTCAGACCCGATACAGAAGCGAGTATTCTAAAAAAAATAAAAGATGCCGTCGATAACTTTGTAAATGACGTAAACAAGAAAAATAAATAGAAAAAAAAATTCAACATTTATATTTTTTATTAACAATGTTTTGTTTTACATAAAGATAAACTTTAAATGATTGTTGTTAATGTTTATATATATTTAATGTTATTATTTTGTCATATATGAGATATTATACGTCATATTGTACACCATTGGACTTTTGCATTTTATTTTATTTTTATACGTAGTTCAATGGGCAAATACAATAGTGATATGCTAAAAATCATACCCTAGAGCATTTCATAACCAAACGTAGTTCAATAGCTCATGAATATTATAGTGTAAGAATGGTCACCACTTGCTTACTAGATACTTTTGGTGAGACATTACTAATATTAGGAAAAGTAACAAGTTAAAACTAGTAAATGCAACTAGTATTCCAATAAATATTTTGATTTCCCTTAAAAAACGTATGGATAAAGCCAAAAATACACCTGTACAACAAAGTCAGGAACGGGCTATAACTCTAGATACTTACCTGAAAAGATAGAGATGTGACCTAAATAATTGTATCGATACAGCTGGGAACCGAAAATACTAGTCTAGCGAAGAAAAACGTTGTGACACCACAAGAGTATGTTGTCGTAACAGAACAAAGATAGAGTAAAATAACTTACATGAAAATTACATAACACATGTTATTATTTTAACAATGCACTTACACAATATTATTCTGCTTATTTATTAGAACTTATATTGTATTTAGACCGAGAGGTCTTTATCCTTCGGAATTATCAATCTCTATTCACCCAGTGCCGCATTAAACTATATTGCCGCCCCTGGGAACATTTTCCACCTGTAAAAATTGTTTTTTTTTTTTAAAAGTTAGACAAGATTGTAAATTTATAATTTTCTTTTTCAACAATAAATATATGTATGTGGGGCGCATTAAATTTAAAGAATACATTAAATTTACTATTACAACATGTCCAGATGACCAGATTCTGCAATCAACGAAATTTTTCGTAATAATTTTTTTTTTTTTACTCATATAGTAGGACATGTGTCCCGTTTGCACAGAATCATATATTTATCGGTATTACATTTCCCCGCCCCGGTAGAACAATGACACAACTGCAATAATTGAAATTTTACAGGAGAAACAAAAAACTAAATTATTTTAACTAAGATGTTTTGGGATGTAATTTTAATGGAATGGCAATGCTTGGGAAATTATTACAACTACAGTAATAATAATATACAACGAAAATTCAGAGCATAAAATAAAACCTTACATATTATAGTTTGGAAACCCAAATTTGGGCCTCAAAGAGCAATCCAGTGATCACAGATCACTGGATCAAGCAGAGTTTAAACATTATGTTATCTTTATAAATTGGTCACAAATATAAAATAGGTTCTTTCTATGTAAATGTATTGTTATAATAACCCATGTATCGTTGTTAATAATATAATGAAATATTTTCATTATCTATATACTCACTCACACATAGCAACCTGGAAATTGACTACGGTAAAAGTGTAATTTTCCTCTTTTTTTGGGGGGTTTTACTTAATATAAAATAAGTTTGATTTCTTTTGAGAAAATTGTATATGTTATAGTTCCATTCTAGATAATATACCTTCGGTCTAGTTTTCCCGACCTAAATCCCTAAAACTTTGCTTCGAAAAGTGAAATAAAGAAAACATTTTTTTTTTCTATTGGAAACTGTTTAAATTTCACACAAATTTGGAATTAATTTGACTTGTTATTTGTTAAATCTTAAAATTGCGCCAAACAAGTTTTAAAAACATTCAGCCTTTTTTCCAGGAGGAGGGAGGGTTGTTGAAATATTCTGTACACACCCTACAAATTTTAGGCCTAATTTTCTGGCGTACGATCTGAAAATTAGTCTAATACAGTTTTTATTTGTCGCAATGTATAAAATAAAGGTATTTCTTATCGAGTAAAAATAAAAAAATAAAATATAATAGCACTCCGACTTATGGTAAGTTAACCTAACCTACCACTGTTACGGTTAGGTTAGGTTTTAAGATCACAGTAACACTTTTTACCAGTTAACTACCTCCCAAAAAATGCGCTTTGTTTAATAATCTCCTGTCAGATGATTCTCTTATCAGTTATTCGGGGATTGGACAATGTAGAAGCACAGAAAGAAGGGAATCTTAGATTTAATCAATCAATATGGTCAGACTTATATTGAGATTTAGCCGGTGATGCTAGAACTCTGATATTTCCTTCAATGAGTCCGAAACGTCGGCTTAAAACTAGTGACATGGATATAATACCTGAAACTCATCCGGATGAATTTTAACCTATTAACCAATTTTACCATAAGCCACTGGCCTCTGTCGTATGTGTGTGTGATACCATAATGTTGGTTTTTTTGCAGCGATGAAACGAAAAATCCTAAACGGACCATTCCTTTGGCAATAGTCATTTCTCTTGCATGTATTACCGTGGGTATGACCTCAATGTCGAACAAAGTACGCTTTGATTGAAATTAAAATTATTATATGTATAGATGTTTTTTACATCATTCTGTTAGGACCCTATCGCTCCGCTGCCAGTTATTGACGAACACTTGGGAATACCGTTTATCGAATACATGGTCACCGTAGGCGCCATATCCGTTAATTACGTATACGTAAATTCGTTTAACCAAAATTATAATAATAATAGTTTAGTGTTTACAGCATATGAGAAAATTTAAATTGTTCGGATGTCTACTGCAATTTAATAAGTGCCATTTTTCCTCTGCCCCGAATTTTGTACGTCATGTCCAGCGACGGACTTTTATTCAAGGTATTGTCCACAGTCAATTAAGTGTGTCCAATTATTATAAAAACTTAGAAATGCGATTATCTTAAGAGAAAATGAAAAGGTACACGTGTATTAATACAAAGTGTTTGTTTTATGACGATTTATTATTTTTTATCGATGCGCAAAAAGTAGTCAAAGAAAACGAATAACGCAAAATACCGACTGAAAACTAAAATATCTATTCTTGGGGTCTACAAAGTCCGATGAAGGTCGACTTTTTAAACTTAAATGGTACCATATACAAATAATTAACTTTTTTAATAAAGATTATTTTGCCGAAAATTTAGGGCGATTTCTAATAAAAATTGATATTTTTATTCTTTTCAATAACTGAGAAAAAAAGTAAATTTTTTTATAAATCCAGTCGAACAATCGATGACGTTAGTTGACGGTTAGTAAACTATACTTTTGGCGATGGTCTTTTTTTTTTTGCAACAGCTGCGACGGCTGACAATGCACACATAAAAAATTATACGTCTTTGGTGAAAATAATATATGCAATGGGCAAATTGTAAAACTTGTTACCTACATTTTTTTTTATGTAACTTAAAAAAAGTTGTTACAGTAAATCGTTTCAAAAATTTCTCCATCGTATTTTCTTTAATATTTAATATTACAGCATCCTTGATAGCAATTTAAAACATTTTTTTATTCATCTAAACCTAGGCATAAACAAAAAAAGATGCCATTCAAAATGGTTTTAAAGATAAAACAAATATATATAAAGTTAACTTTGACTTAGCATAGTTAGCATAGTTGCATTTATGCGGTCTATGAAATCGTCTCTTGTTGTCACGTAAACTTTTTCCTTTATGTAAGAAGTAACCCCCCAAAAAAATCAAAGGTCGTCAATTCGGGTCTCCTCGGTGGCAACACAATATCTGGTCTGATTTCCAGTCTGTCTTGTTATTATTTATTCAAGAAATATGTGATACAGTAATTATCCGATGGCATTTCTGTGATGTGGCGGTGCGCCGTTCATCGTAGACCACATTGTGTCCTATAAGGAATATTGGAAACTTAGTCGAGAGAAACGGACTAATAGGAAAGATTCTAATGGTGTCGGTTGTAAACTATAAGCAATATACATTTAATTTTCTTAATTAAAAAAAAAAGTTAGACTACAAATTGTTAAACAAATTGAGGAATTTGATTGGCGGTTTCAAAGACAAACCAATTTTTTATTTAAATAAAACTATAAAATAAAATCTGAGTAATTTATCATAATTTTAATAAATTTCTATTAAATAAAAATTCGATTAAGAAAATAATAAAACTATTTTATTGTTATTCTTGCATAAAATAAAAAAAGTTTTAATAATTTTATACTTAAAAACAAATGAAAAAAAATAATTAGAAACAATAATAGATTGCTTGAAATAAATTAAAACGATCGAAACTGATTAAAAACATTTGTATTGCCTAAAAAAGACTTCTATAAAACCCTTGACCGCTTTAAAACTGGGTAAACTCAAATTGTATGCATTGTTCATCGTTCAGGGAATAAAAAAAAAACAAATATCTGAAAAAAATATCTTAATTATCGTGGCTACAATGAATGTGTCTTGATTGTTTTATGTATATCATTGTTTATAAGTGCTTGACTTACACTAAATGACGTTTTTAATCATTATAAATTATTTAATCAATTTATAAAATATTTGTAATGATAAAACAATTTTTATGAATTATTTTATTGTTGTTAATAAGAAGATAATAATGAATTATTATTAACAAGCATATTGAATTATTTAAGTCCTTACAGTCGTATAAATATGCTTAGTTACTAAAGTCGGATTGAAACATTTTTTTTTATTTACCGCGGTAGCGCTGTTTGGTAGAATGGAAACCATTCCATGCCGCGCCGTGCCGGGTTTTAGTTATACCCAATTAATAGCTATCCATAAAAACGTTTGCATTATAGATACTGTTGATTACGATGTATGGGTAACAGCGACAACAAATTATTATAGACCAGACGATCACCTTGGCATGTAAAAGTGTAGTGAAGAGTTTCAGAACTTGATCTAAAAAAGTTCATTCACTACAGAGCTTTGAAGTTGTAAATCATAAACAAAACATTTCCCCCTGTATGTTCATTCTTTTTTAATTAATTGATTGATAAAAAAAGAAATATATTTTAAATAATTCTCGTACTATTAAAAAAAAAAAGAAAATCTACTTGCCGACGCCGACCGAGCAAGCGTTTTAATATTTTTTT